ACTGAAAATAGGCACTGTCTTTATAAACTGCATAGTTGCGATCTAAACAACTACATTCTGGCCAAAAAAAGCCCCAAAAGTACATTATGTTGTCCAACAGCTGTGATATATTTATCAAACTGTAGTGAGATTATTCCTCTGCTTGTAACTCTCTGTGGGTGGAGTTATACACAACGGCGAAGAGGCTGTACAAGTGCTGTTAGTGCAGAATATTACTCTGCTGTCAGCCAATCAGATTCGAGAACCAGACAAAACTGAATTATTTAAACAAAAAATGTTTGCAGATTAAAAAAAAACATGATGAAAAGATTAATAATTCCAAAAATGCTACAGAAAACAATCGATATTGGTCTTATTTTAAGGTGAGTGTACCTTCATAGTCAAGCACTGATTATGATGCTCAGAGTCCAATGAATTAACATCATGCTGCACTTTTACCATCAAAGTGTTTACAGTAAATGTAATCTGTATTTATAGAGAAATGTCTACATTGACCCTGCTTTTTTTTGCAAGCCTGCCAAGTGGGAAATTCTTGGCCAGAACAGGCTGCAGCGTGGACCAGACTTTCTGCCGTTTAATCAGAGGTCTGACTGCGTGCGACTAGGTGTCATCTGGAGCTGCATGTGTGGGAGTTGCATTGAATGATGCAGCAGTTGGATGGTGGAACATCTCCAAGCCCTCGACAGCACACATTGATCACGCTGTCCCTGCACACTGACACTCCAGACACCCACTTTCATCTCCATTAAGTGCAGCGCATCACAACGGCCAGCGAAGAGATACCCCCACGCTCACTCACTTCAAATTTTGTTAGGACTTCATCACTGTTAAAAGGTGCCCAGAGGCTGCCCGAGGCACAGACAAGTGTTTCAGTTGCTGTAGCTATTGGACACATCTCATTCATACGGAGTGACATTACTCTGCTAGCATTGCACAGAGATTCCAACTGGATTCTTTTGTTTCCGCAGAATTCCATTCGGATTCCACAGGGGTCGCGTCAGGATTCCATTCGCATTCCATTTGTTTGGAACTGTGTGTTTCGTGATGAGAAGTTAAATTTGAGTCTCCTGTGAAACCAAAAAAATACAAACAAAATCGCTTTAACGTCAAATCAGCTCATTGTTGCTTTTGCATGCAGGATGATGAAGGAAGTTGTAACTCTCTGATGACATCTGCGAGAGATGTGTGAAGCATTAATATGAGTTTGAGCTCTTCCTGTCTCTATGATCAGGATTCATTAAAGAAAGACATTCAGTGCACCACACCATGATGTTCTTTGGGGGCACTAAAGAGTCAACTTGAAATCCTGTTTTTTAATATGCTTACTATGTTAAAAGGGGTCATGAACTACCTCTTTTATTACTCTGAGGTCCGATTGTAATGTTATCAGGATTTTCACACAAAACATGATCATTTAGAAGCAATAAGTAGTTTTTTCTCCAGCTTATCCCCCTCATCAGAATGCACTGTTTGAGAGTGTGGCTGAAAAATATATCTTGCTGATTTATTTGGTTAAAATTTTTTCATATTTTAAAAAATGCGTAACACTTTGGCTGATTATGTCACAGTGGACAGCTTGAGTTAATACATTTATAAATGCTAAGTAAATAGTTCATTGGATTTACATTTTTTTTTAAGGTAAAGTGGTAACAAACAATTCATATCGGCTGATTTTAAACAAATAAAATGCTGTAATGTTTAACTTTGTTTGTTTAAATTCAGCCCATATAAATTGTTTGCAATCACTTACCTTAAAACAAATTAGTCAATACAATGAACCATTTTAAGCAATAATGAACATAATGAAAGCAGTCACACTTGTTGTGTGTGACATTACTGTCGGATCCAACATAGTGGAAAGCATTATTTTTTAGTTTCAACCTTTCTGATAATCTGACTCCAATTGTGCTTTATGTAAACGAATCCATGGTAGAATTAATTACAAGTGACTAAATTCTTACTGATGCAGTCAAATTTAAATGAAATGAAAAGTAATTTAATTTAAATTTCATTAGTTATTTCAGTCCTTCATTTTGTTGGAATTAGTTGGAAAGCCAGGAAAAGGCCTGTGTTTTTTCTTCTACTTGGTGCTAAGTAGATATTTTGTCCTTAGAGAGTCTACATCGTTTGGTTTCTGCTTAGTCCTGCATTTGCCTAATGTTATTTACTACAACAGCGTAAACTTGTGGGTGGAGCTAACAATGATAATGAAACAGGTGTTGATCATCTTCTGCAGAGTTTTTACATTGTTAGTAATAAAATGGCACATTCCACAACTGACATTTTGGCACATTGGCTTCAATATAAGATATATACAGTGTGTGTGTGTGTGTGTGTGTGTGTGTGTGTGTGTGTGTGTGTGTGTGTGTGTGTGTGTGTGTGTGTGTGTGTGTGTGTGTGTGTGTGTGTGTGTGTGTGTGTGATTTTAAGGTCAAAATTATTAACCGAAAATGATATTCTAATATGTATAAAACAGTCAAGAGTTTAGGTCTAGTAGGATTTTTAAATGTTTTAAAATAAGCTTATCCTGCTCACCAAGGCTGCATTTATTTATTTTAATAATTTAAACCAGTGATTTTAATGATGCATTTTCAGCTTCATTACTCCAGTCTTTAGTCACATGATGCTTCATAAATTACTCTAATATTAATAATAATCATCATTTTTATTAATAGTAGACAAAGCAATATTGACAGAAGTAATAATTTAATTTGAAACTATATACAAGTAATAAATAAATTATTAACCATTTAACAATATTTTTTACATTTAATAAATGCTGTCTTGATAAACAGAATAATTTTCTTTAAAAAAAAATGAACCAAAACTTTTGACCGGTAGTGTATATATGTATACATTAGGGGTGTCAAAATTAATTATTTCTTTAGTTTACCACGATGCGGACAATAGATTGTAATCTGTTATTACATACTGACATCATTTATCTCATGTGCAGCTTTAGAGCCAATCGCATGGTGTTAGAACTCGCTCGACAATGCTCAGAAAGCGAGCAGAATATTTGCATTTGTTTATTTGCTATAAATGCTCATGTTGTTCTGTGCATGTACTTGAGTTTTTAAAAGGACAGTTCATATATCTGCCTGCTTGTTTTAAAGGACAAGATGGAATACAAATAATATTCATTCATTCATTCATTTTCTTTTTGGCTTAGTCCCTTTATTAATCCAAGATTGCCACAGCAGAATGAACTGCCAACTTATCCAGCACATGTTTTACGCAGCGGATGCCCTTCCAGTCGCAACCCATCCCTAAGAAAACATCCATACACACTCATACACTACAGACAATTTTCTTCTACCCAATTCACCTGTACCACGTCTTTGGACTGTGGAGTAAACTGGAGCACTCAGAGCAAACTCCACACAGAAACGCCAACTGACCCAGCCGAGGCTCGAACCAGCGAACTTCTTGCTGTGAGGTAACAGCACTGCCTACTGCGCCACCGCGTTGCCTACAAATAATATATAAATCTAAAAATATTTATACATTTTAATACAAAAGATGTTGTGCTGTGAAGTAAAATACAAAATTGTGTATGGAAAGCAGCGTCAATTCACCATGATGCACCAAGATATCGAATTAAATCCGAATTGATGGCATGATAATAGTAACCAAATCGAACCATAGGACCAGTATAGGTTCACACTTACTGTACGTCAGCAGATAACTTCAGCAAACCTAATACCTGCAGCATGATAGATTTATGAAGTTTATGGAAGTGACCGTGTGTCACCGCATCACAAATGATTTAAAATAATACAAAACTATATAACTAAAGCAATCTCCACTGTACTGTCTCTTCTTAACTGTCGCATCATATGACATTAGTGTGCTCTGGCTCGGAAGGTAAAATGCAATATGAATGTGGGCTGTCAACGGAGAGGGGATGGGGACAATTGCACCCAGCCATGGTTGAATGTAACTGTGCCTAGTGTGAGTACACCCTAAGAGTTACGTCTGTAATATAACCTCTCTCTTTAGATTAAAAAAATCCCCCATTAAGAGTCCCTTAAAGGTATTGAATGACCCCATTTTACAGCAAAAAAATAAATAAATAAATAAAATAATAAATAAATAAAAATTTGTGCGATAAATTGACCTTTATGTAGTATCATGGTTTAAGTGTGATGATGTTGTGTCATTTGGCTTCAGGTTTCCCATCCTAAAACTTACCAGGAGCTCCCTGCTCCATCTCTCTATCCCACAAGAACTCCATGACCTGAAAAAAGTAGAAAATTATAATTGGTATAAAGTTGAACAAAAGAAATTAGTATGAAGTTTCACCTCAGACTGTCAGCAGGAGTGTTTAACTGTCAGACTGATGGAACGGCATCTTCCCCTACTGGGTTATTACAGTGCCTTGCGCATTGCAGAACAAATGGCTTTGCTCCATGAGTTCACAGGGTTTGTCTCGCAGCAAATCGACCCAGCTCATGAACGTTTGCTGTGTATTTAACCGTGTCTGCGCTCAACATGTTTCATGGACAGCTGGGTGATAAGCATCATGCTATATGTCCAACCCATATGTATTAAGAGTGTGTACAACAGTCACAAGGGCTCTATAATCTGTCAGCAGCAGCACAGGAGGCTGATTGTTGATGCAGACGAACAGACAGAAAGGAAAGGCCGTCACTGTCGATTCATTTGAAAGTATTGAACATTTTTCCACCCATCTCAGCGCTGTCATTCTGCCATCATTTCCTCTGATCGTTTGATATTCAGAACCTTCCAGCACTCCTGAGATTACGCTGTTTTCTTTTCATTTGATGGGCTTTTGGATGTATCCATCGTAGTGGAAAGTTGGAATCGGTGCGCTAGTATATCTAGGGATTCCCGTTTAATTTATCCTCTCAATCATGGAGCCCTTATCTTCCTGTCACGCAGTCTTGGATCTTTTAGTAGCTGAGCTTCAACGCAATTCATCTCTCTGTCTTTCTCTCTCTGTGTGTGTGTGTGTCTCCCTCTTCAACCCCTCTCAGGGACGCTGTACACGTGATAACTGTAAGTACCTGCATCCTCCGCCTCATCTCAAGACCCAGCTGGAGATAAACGGCAGGAACAACCTGATCCAGCAGAAGACCGCAGCCGCCATGCTGGCCCAGCAGATGCAGTTCATGCTGCCTGGAGCTCAGCTGCAGCCCATAGTGAGATCAGATTTTCATAACTAATAACGTCACCATTGTTTCTGTTGGCTTGAAAACTGCTTGAAAACTTATTATCCCTTGTTGTTTTTGTGTCTCTTATCCAGACCTCTTTTCCAGTAACGCCTTCGTTGGCCAACAGTCCGAGCATGGCTTTCAGCCCGTACCTGAGCCACGTGAGCCCGGGCATCAGTCTCATGCCCGAGCTTCTGCCCAGCGCCCCCGTGCTGGTCCCGGGGAGCCCCACCGGCATCACCATGGGCAACGGAAATTCAACACAGAAACATGTTCGCACAGACAAGCTTGAGGTGTTAAACACAGTGAACAACTTGCTGTTGTTGTTGTTGTTGTTGTTAGTGGCTTCTAGTCAAATAACTATGAATGTTACGTGAACATGCGCATGTAACACATTTCACACTCAAAATGTCACTTTTCTGAAGGCTGGAATATACCAAACAACTTTTAAAATGGCATTAATGTTGTATTTGGACCAAAAAAAGAACATTTGTTTAGCTCTGTTGCATACATGATTTCATTTTTGTCAAGAGCTTATAAAATGTGTGAAGGAGTCAAAAGAGCAGCAGCAACTCCTCCATCACACAGATAGTTGAAGATCTGCTAAGATTTACATTAGATTTGAATTAAGCATTTAGCTGATGCGTCTATCCAAAATCACTCACGTGCACACAGGGAACAGTTGGGTTCAGTGCCTCGCTCAGAGCTGTGGTTTTGAGGATGGAAAAGAGTGCTGTTTATTCACTCTCACCTACGATCCTTGCCAGTGGTAGAAGTCGAACCTGCAACCCGTGGATCACAAACATAACCATTAGGCCATGGCTGTTTTGTTAATGTGAAAAAATGCATTTGACGCCTGTATTAAATGCATTTACAGTCTAAAATAGAAAAACAATGCCAAAAATTGGTGTGAAAAGGGTAAAGTGTGTTCCAGCCTTTGATCGTAGATCTTGTAGTTTAACTGTTTGGTGAAAAAAAAATCACATATATTTAATAAGACAAAAATACAGGCCAGATTACAATGGAGATCATTGATACATTTAGAGACATGGGGTCCATTCTTTGCACATGGATTAATCAGTGGGCTTTATGCACAGCTCGTGTTTTACAGCCAATGATGAACTTTCACAAGGTTTTACAGCATTGATGTTGTAATGCACATCAAATATAATCAGTTAAATAGACTTGTTAAAACGTAAAAAGAAACGAAAGTCATTATTAGCAGCAGGCTAGCACAGAAACTCTATTGAAAATACTGGGGTAAAATTAATTTCCATATTTTAAAAACATGGTGCAGAAAAATGTAATTTAATACTTACTTTATATCATATCGCAGCCAGACAGTGAAGATCGCTGTTTTTTAAAGAAATCAGATTTTAAATGCGTCGATTTTGTAAGGGATGACAAATAACTGGAAGCCCTGGGGCTTGCTGACTGAAATAAAAGTCTGTGTGCATATACCCCATCCGCTGGATTTTGTTATAGCGATCTAGGATTGTTTTGTTTTTTCAAAACTGATTTTTGACTAGCTGTCTAGCAACAGGTCTGATAGCTTAAACGTGCTCAGGAGCAGGCCCATTTCATATAAACAGGATTAGATTGGGTCTTCACAAGCAAAGGTAATACTGAATGCTGATCTTTCCTTACAGTAGTTGCTAACCTATAGATTATATACACTGGAAATAGTAAAATAGTTTTTTTTAATTATATATAATAGCTTTAAAAAAATGTATAAGTAGAACTGTTAAGCAATTTAAAGAGTTTAAAGTAATAATGGACTTTTTAGATACAAACGAAGACTGTTTTAGGGTAGGCTACCTTACCGACCCAGCTTTAGTACAATTTGTGTATTATAATAGACATGGCCAATATTCTCGTTTGTTTGTTTTTTAAGAAAAGTAATAATAATTTGTGCAGTCAGGCACATGTTTTGACAGCTACTATGGTGATAATTTGATACTTGGCAAAAGTTGCAAAAACTTAACAATATCATAATGCTGCAGCTCACAACAAATGTGGGAAGTTATTGCGTATCATATTAAACAAACAGTTTACTTATATGTTAATTTATATGGTTTTGCTCACATGGATTATTGAATATTAATCAGATGATGTCATTATGCTGCTGTGCCGTCAGCCAATCATTGCATTTCTGATCATGATTTCAAGGATCATTAGATCTGTCCTTCACAACACACCAGCAATCTCAGATCAGTGCATCCAGACATTTTAATCTGATTCGCAAACTTGTTTGAAGAACCAAATTAGCCAGAGATCATTTATCAAAATCAAAAGATCCAGGATCTGCTAAATTATCATAGATCATTTAAGCGAGGTATGAAGAATGGACCCCGGGTGTTAAAATGAGCCATTGTTTGATTACAAATAAAACCAAAACAATTGTTATTGTAGTTAAATCATAATAACACACCATTCCACATGATTTGCTGCACTAACTATAGTTTTACTGTGATATTTGTAGTAAAACTATAGCTATACAATAGCTAAAAAAACACATTGTTGCTTATTGTAAGTGACCACAACATGCAAAAAACATCTGGCAACTTCTCTCAACATAAAATGGGGCAAGAGCTACTCACCCTTTTTGTTTAAAACTCTAATTCATAACAGCATTGTGCCAGAATAAGTATTGAAGGGAGATTTTCAGCATGACTATTGGTTGACAATAAATGTCTGCTGCTTTACTGCCAGGTTTGTCGAGAGTTTCAGCGGGGAAACTGCACTCGCGGGGAGAACGACTGCCGCTATGCCCATCCAATGGAAGCTGCAATGGTAGACGGCAGCGAGAACTCCGTCATTGTTTGCATGGATTACATCAAGGGCCGCTGCACCCGTGACAAATGCAAGTACTTTCACCCTCCGGCTCACTTACAGGCCCGGATAAAGGCGGCGCAGCACCAAGCCAGTCAGAATGCAGCTGCCATGGTGAGTTACTGATATTATCCAATTACAATGACATCACAAGCACTAATTCACCCAATTATAAAAATCACTCATCACTTGCGCTGTATAGAAGATGTTGTTTGGTGTAACAGTACCCTCAGTGGAGGGAATATGGCAATAGTATACTAGTAGTCATATTGAAAGGCTGCTATTGATTGTAATGAATGATTCTGGAAACATTTTATGGAAAAAAAAAACTTTATACATTCTTTTACCTTTTTTCCATCCAACTCATGGATTTTCATGTCATTTATGGCACAATGCTCCAAGCCATTGACATGGTTGTCTGGGCACATCATGATTTTACCAAGTACGATGCCATCCTGGATTAACATCTATGTTGATCCTGAAACATCATTTTTGGTCGAAAATGTAATCCATACCTATTCCCTTCCCCTAAACCAAGTCTTGTGCCGGAACAGTAATATGGTCAATTTAGCTTACCCAATTCACCTATACCACATGTTTTTGGACTTGTGGGGAAAACCGGAGCACCCAGAGGAAACCCACGAGAACACTGGGAGAAAATGCAAAGTCCACACAGAAATGCCAACTTACCCAGCCGGGGCTCAAACCAGCGTCCCTCTTGCTGTGTATATATATATATATATATATATATATATATAGTTATCATTTATTTAATGATTACAATTTTATTTTATATTTGATTGTTCAATTTCTATACTTGAACTCTGTTAGACTCCCTAGAAAACTATAAAGTCTTGTTTATTAACTGCTTTTTGCATTTAATTTATTATAATGTATGCATAGAAAAAATCCCAGTCGATCTAAATGAAATAAATCTTTCCATATAGAGTTATTCAAATATTCTGGGGAAATGTTATTTATATTGAAATAAATATTATGGCAAAACAAAACATCGCAATGTCAGATTTTACCAATATCGTGCAGCCTTAGTTTGAAGTGTTCATAATAGCACCAAATGTTCATTTGCTTAATAGTTAATGAAGATTTTCACATGTTATTTGTCCTACTACATGTAGAAATATTGATTGGAAATTCTGACTATCTATAGAGATATTGTATGCTAACATTGTGCAATAAGACTAAGGGCCCTATCGTACACCCAGCGCATAAGGCGCACGATGTGAATGGTGCGATTTGTTGCTATTTTTTGTCCAGTGCAACCCTAATTTTCACATTTTGCACTACTTTGTTTAAATTGGAAATCTAGTTGAGCTACTTTGTAGACTTGTGTGTCCTGGTCTTAAAAGGACATGTGTTAAGGCACATTGTTGTGTTATTATTATTATTAGCATTATTATTTATTATATGCTCATTTATATTTGGTTTAATAAAAACAAGTTTAGATTTGTTCACATGTCGGGTTTTTGGAGATGTATGCATCTGATATAACTCAGTTTTTTGATCACACTTTGTTATTATTGTTCATTTATATGTTTGCTGGAAATTAGAACTGAATTTAAAAACAGTTTTGAATCAAATCTTTGCGCTTAACAAACGAAACTAAGTATGTAGGCTGACGGATGTCTTCAGTGAAGTGCGTAGACCACTGTTTTTTAATCCACAAAAGTAAAGGTGTAAAGTAAAGAGTAAAAGTAAAGTAAAGAGGCTGACTGAAGGAGGCTCGTTCTTTATCCTCGTGCTGCAAATGGTCTGTTTTACTGCTTTCTCGGCAGTGAAGTGTTCAGTTTTTCCATTTAGTTTTCCACTTACAAAGTCCACCATGTAAATAGCAAATGTGCCATGGCACACTGCAACTGACTGTTAAAGGGTATGGGAGATAAGACTCTGATTGCTTTAATGCATGTTATGCTCAAAACACCCAAAACTCATTAAGAGTATAAAAACAACCCTGTTAGACCATGTGCAAGGGTGCAGACCGTATTTTTCCATCCCTAAAATAGCAAAAGTGGGTTCAAGTGGATTTAGACACACCCTTAATTCTTTTGCACCATGTGCTTTAGACTTTGCGCCTACATTGTAAACTTACCAATAGTGCCAATAGTAAACTAAAGTTAATTGAATTTGCCTCACAATGAAAACAACAAAAGCTATTATTAATCTTAACTGATGTAAATTTCTCAGTTAATGCCTAATAAAGCGTTTAAGTCATGGTCGTAATTTGATTACAAGTTGTAATCATTTTATTAAAAGAAGTCTAGCAAAATTCTGTTGTATTTTTTTACCAATATTATCTAAGTCACTGTGATAAATCTGGCCATTTTTCATTGTTGATTTCAATCCAATAACTAACGTAATGAGAGTTTATCGTAAAAAAGCATTACCTATTGTGATTTAATTAATGAAGTTGATACATTTGTTTATTTTGATCATATAAATACACAATAAAGCAGTACACTATGTTTTTTTTTATATTATACCTGTTTAAGTAACCTTTTTTCAGCTTGGGTCAATATTGTGATATTATGAAAATCCATGAAAGTAAAAGCTTCATCAATTAATCGCAACAGGAAAATCTGATCTCGTCCTCCACCACATACACTCCATCAGTCCCTCGACTCCCACCAGATTAACCTGGAGTTAAGAGACCAGCAACCTTAGTTTCGGCCATTGTGCCATTTTCAGTAAGCTCTACTAGTGTCAGATGAAGGTGTGTGTATTTATAACTCACTTTCCACACACCTTCAATGTGAGGTTCAGGAGTGTATTAAATAATTCAGATCCCCCGCAGGAGGATGTGTGCGTGTATGTGTGTGTATGTGTGTGTGTGTGCATGTGTGTGCGTGTGTGTGTGTGTGTGTGTCTGTAGGCGAGCTCTTTGTCTCTTGTGTGATGTATGAAGACCAGGGCTCAGTGATCGCTTGCAAACAGTGTCTGCAGTGCAGGTGCAGGAGTGAAAAATGATAAGAGAGGAAAAAGAAAAAAACAAGCAATTCATTCTCACGGAAACCTCCGCTAGTTAGCAGCCTCTCAGCCGAGAGCACACTGCAGCCAATTTCCCTTTAATAATGTGTCGTCTTTATCTCAGTCCTCCCAAGTCTTATCATGTAACATTTTTGCAAAGGTTTATTTACAGTGCACAGATGTGGGGAGCTCATCCAAAAAATCCTGCAGTCACCTGGTCCGCCTGAGGCTTTATCATATGTTGGCTTTATTTGACTCCCTCTTTGGTTCATGCTGTCATTGGGTTTGAACACTGCTTGATTGTCTTTACATCCTCACAGCTCTCTTTGTTGTCCTACAAGCTTATTTCTCAGCTCTCCCTGCAACCTCAGCTGCTTCGTGGCTCGTGTTTATGTCCACTGTTGTTGATTGGTTTTTCATTGTCATGTGCTTACCGTTCACTTACCAGCCCCCCAGCCTGTCCTCTAACACGCAGCCTGCAAATGACTTTTAGCCTTGTACTTTCATCTTTCACCCATTTTTATTTTTGTTAGCTTTTTAAAATATCATTTGCTGATTTGTTCATTTCTGTTGGCTTTTGTGCAGCGTTAATATTGCAAACCAGACACAAGCTTTGAGTCAATGGATCAGTTTCTGAAGCCGAATAAATGTGCGGAGTTTTTTTCCCCCAATGATCTGGGTACTGGAAGAATATTTCTCGTTAATTTTCTCCACAGGCCCTTCAGAACATTAACCTTTGATCTAAGCTAACTATCTCAAACAGAAAACTGAATTTAAAAAAATAAAATAAAAAAAAATTGAGAAATGACAGAGATATGAGAATGCCAACCCAGGCTCATTGGAATTATATGTGCCCAGGGATACATATGTGAACCGAGAAATATGTACGTCTGTTTTAGCGGTTTTTGTTTTCACAAATCCACCAGGCTGCCGCATACATTTTTGAAAATCTTACATAAGTTTTGGGGCATGTTTTCTTATATGTGCCATTTCCAGCATCAATCCAGCAAACACCGCTCTGTACATTTCTGTATTAAAGGGCACCTATTTTACCCCTTTTCAAGATTTATTATAGGTCTTTTGTGTCTCCAGAATGTGTCTAAAGTTTAATCTGAAAACAACCATCAGATTATTTATTATACCTTTCAGAAAATTGGATTTTCTGCTCTGAACACAATGCAGCTGATAAAGTAAAGATAATAAAATCGCTATAGTTTAATATAAACATGAACTTTAAAAACATTTTAAACTTGTAATACTCATTCTTGATCACATTTGATGATGATTGATGATTACAGTGAGCTGAACAGATCTTTTATTGGCAGTTGCTTTGCGCACGTCTTATCTTGTTGATATGATTATACACGGTACTACGGAGATATGTTAATATGGAGCTTTCAATCAATTTGGTGGGCGGGGAAACCGCACTCCTACATCACGTTGCAGTGAGTCTCAAAATGGTAGGGATTTAGATCCTATTTTAACGTCAGAAATTTTAAAAAAATTATCTTATTGTGGTTATATCACTCCAATGACAGTTGACACACTACACACAGTTCTGTCCAAACAGCTCCCAAAAGATGCTTTTTATCATAGGTGTTCTATTCAATCCCTATTGTGTCATTGTGCATAATATAACAGCTTGATATTACGACTGACCCACACATCCCCTTTCCTAAACCCAACTGATAGTGTTTTCAAAAGCAAACTAGAAGAGAAAAGAGGCTATGAGCTTCTACCACGACATCGCAAAGCCTTTTTGGGGTTTTTCCTGGTTTCTGAAACTGCATTTCACTGGACTCAAACCCTAGTCTGCTCTGCTCTGCGTCCAAAGTCTAGCACCATTCATAGCCATCTATATGGAGGTACTGTAAGTACCGCCTTATAGCATCATTTTATACACAAAATGCAGCCATATGTATCCACAAACACACATATTTTCTCAGTTCTCAAAAATGTATCCCTGGGCACATTTTCCCAAAGTGCCCGTTGTAGAATGCAGATACACAAAGTTTTAGTACCATATTGGTTGGGTGATGAGATTTCTGTGGATTGAATACAGGACAGAAAGTAAGGATTTATACTGATTATAATATAATGCATATAGTCTAATAACACTTCTTTCTGTATTTTTTTTGTATTATATTAACTAATACGTTCTGGTTACTAAGTGGCTTCACTGAGGTAAATGTACACTTGCACTGTCACCTCACAGCAAAAAGGTTAGTGGTTCAAGTCTTGGCTAGGTCAGTTAGAATTTCTGTGTGGAGTTTGCATGTTCTCCCCGTGTTTGTGTGAGTGTATTTTGGTGTTTTCCCAATACTGGGTTGCAGCTAGAAAGGCATCCGCTGTGTAAAACAAATGCTGAATTAGTTGACAGTTCATGACGCTGTGGCGACCACAAATGAATAAAGGGACTAAAGGCTGATTTATACTTCTGCATCAAACGCCGGCGCTGACGCATAGCCCTTCGCCGTGGCCATCGCCGTCACTGACGTGCACCTCTCAAAAAAAAGGCTTGGTAGCGCTGACGAGTCTGGGCGGGACCGAGAGCCGCGCGAATGGTGCGAGCGATTGTTTACAAGTGTGGAGTCCCGTGAAGGAGCTCCGGATGGAAAGTTTTGTTTTGTGTTTACCTCATAGTTAAAGTTGTTGCACGTCCGCCGGTTCCTGCCTCAAAATGAGTGAGTTTGAGCCACTTGTACATCCTGAAAGTGTTCAGGAAAAACAAAAAGCAGAGAAGAAACTCGACACAGAGGAACATTTACACCTCACTGCCTACTAGCGTTTCGGAAGTGTTAATGCAGACCGACAGAGACATAGCGCAGAAGTATAAATGCACAGCCACGCGCGTTGCCTGCGCCGTGGGTTACGCCGGTCACTTGACGCAGAAGTATAAATCAGGCTTTAGCTGAAGGAAAATGAATGAATGAAAATTGTTTACAAGATGTTATGACATGGTTGAAACATTAATTCAGCAATTATTTGTGATGCTACACATTTTTAGAAAGTTGGTTTTGCTTCTTTCAGCCACCTTCTTATATTCATTTATGTTTTTATCTTGCTGTAACTATAGTAAATGTGCTCTCATGACCAGTTTTATCTCCTCCACTCTCTTTATCACTTACACTGGAACTGGCTTGACGCCAAACATTGCTTGTCCCTCCTTTACTAATTTGTTCAATATGGAAATATGATTGGATGGTAATTTTGTTCCTCAGAATATGCAATACCATGATTGGCTACCACTGATTAGACTATTTCACATTACTACTAGTGCTCAAGAAAATTAGAAAGGTTAATATCCAATATTAGAAGGCTTTTATGTGTTGGATAGCATTAGATATTGTACATTATCACCTCTTCTAATTTAGATTGAGATTACATTAATATTAAACAGCAATGCTCCTGCTTTTAGGATATTTATACATGCTCTTCCGTCTTTTCAGCGATATTATCAATGTCATTAAATATACTTTAGATTTTATAATGCGTGTCTGTGTCTGTGTGTGTGTGTGTGTGTGTGTGTGTGTGTGTGTGTGTGTGTGAATATATATATATATATATACAGTTGAAATCAGAATTATTAGCCCCCCTTTGAATTTTATTTTATTTTTTAAAAAATATTCAAATTATGTTTAACAGCAAGGAAATTTTCAGAATTTTTTTCTTCTGGAGAAAGTCTTATTTGTTTTATTTCAGCTAAAATAAAAGCAGTTTTTAATTTTTTAAAAACCATTTTAAGGTCAATATTATTAGCCACTTAAAGCTATATTTTTTTCGATAGTCTACAAACAAACCAGTGTTATACAATAATTTGCCTATTTAACCTAACCTGCCTAGTTAACCTAATTAACCTAGTTAAGCCTTTAAATGTCACCTTAAGCTGTATAGAAGTGTCTTGAAAAACATCTAGTAAAATATTATTTACTGTCATCATGACAAAGATAAAATAAATCAGTTATTAGAGATGAGTTAATTAAAAAAAATGATTATGTTTAAAAATGTGTTTAAAAAACTTCTTTCTGTTAAACAGAAATTAAAGGAAAAGTTTATCATCATTTTCATCTGTGAAACAAAAATTTGCTAATTAAATATTCTGGTGACGATGTAGTTAAATTATGAACCAAAAAATATGTTCGGCATGAGAAAAACAGTATTTTCTTATTAGAAAATGTTTTAGACTCTGCAACATCCGATAATGACTAACAAGGTAGCAAATTAGCTAGCTAATGTTAGCTTGTATAACAACGTCACATCGTTATCTACCTAAAAAATGCAGTGGAGATTGCAGTGCTCATTTCCATGGAAACAAAACCTTCTGATTGGCGAATCCCACTACAGGACTGTGGGTAGTGCGCTACTTCGTCTGTAATTAATTCAGCAGTTAGGCAATTGTTTTTAGTGAAGTTTAAATTACTGCCTTATGCCTCCTACAAAAACATATACCATTGTTTGAACATCCTTAAAGCTCAAAGGTGGTAGTTTTACGGCACACATCTCATATTTCTGCTTTAAGAATCTGACTACGGAGCTCTTCTGTATATATGCAGTACAGCACATTATTACAGAGCTAGTGGGGATTGAGTTGACATGTAAATCATGAGGTCAAACTGCTCCCCCATCATCCCTCAGTTAGTGAATCACAGATATCCTCTTTCCTGCTGACCTTGCTCTTATCACCTTGCATATCAGTCTTCAGACAGAATTACACAGTGTAAGACAGCCATTCATCCTGCTCATTATGCCTTCATCTGCACTGAGCGTTTTCTGTTTAACTATCAGACGCTGATGAAGACGCCTCACCTCTGAAATCACACGCTACTGATACTTCTTTTAGAAAAAAAGGAGAAGCAGACATTTTGCAGAGGAGGAAGTGCAGCACAACATGAATAACAACATCAGCCAGCAAGATTTACATTCCAGTTTGGTTGGTTTCACTTGGATAGTGGATAGGATGGTGGTTTGGTTCAGAAATAGCTGTTATAAGATGCTGCGGAAAGTCTACAAACCCTTTCTTTGCTTAATTTTTTTCTTTGTTTGTTTTATTTTATAGCACTTTACAATGTAGATTGTGTCAAAGCAGCTTAACATAGAAATTCTAGCAAATTTATACTGCGTTAGTCAGTTTTCAGAGTTGAAGTTGAGTTCAGTTCAGTTCAGTGTTGTTTAATTTAGTTCAAACACTGAAGAGCAAATTCATCAGTGCGCAGCTCTACAGCTCCCAAACCAAGCAAGCCAGTGGCGACAGCGACAAGGAACAAAATTCACCAATTGACGAAAGTAAAGGAAAAGAATATTTTTTTATTTGCTTAATAATATTCTTTAATTATACCACACATAATGCTATTTCATTGCAAAAAGAAGAATAAACTAAAGAATATACAAATCAAGAATATACTGTAAAATTGTATTTCAGTTTGTATAATTGTTTTATTTTTTGTTTTAGTGTTTTTAAAATGTCACTTATTTGACGTTAGTTTACATTTCAAGCATTATTGTCATTTTTATTTTTATGAATGTTGAACAGTTATGCTGCTTAATTTTTTAAGTAGATGTGAGCAATTATAGTATATTATAGGATTGATCAAAGAAATTTCCTCAGTTGTTCGATAATTTTTGATTGAAAACATTTTTAAGTTTGTTTATTTTATTTTATTAAGGTGTTTCATTAATGAAACATGATTTGCTGCACTTTAGACCAAGGCATGCTTAAGTTTTTATACTTTAGGATTTTATGTAAATTCTTTATTCAAATTTTTTTTTTAATTTGAAATTTTACTTGACTCCATTTTAGTATCCAGAAATATCCAGACAACTGAAATGATGATTATTTTTACAAATTTTTACAATTTAAAACTTCAGAAATCCTATTAAATGTTTTATATTTATTTAAATTAAACGTTTCATACATAAAACAATAAAATGCTGTTGAAGTTACTTGAGCTCTGAAAATAACTTATCATGTTCACCATGTATAATATTGAGACACCAGAGACTGACAAAACCATTGAATTTCATCATCATTCATTATCACAGTAAACACAAAAAATTCTGATTTAGAATGACAAATACACAGAATGTCAACTAAAATTGTTACGCAACACAGACTCATTCTGAAAACGTGGCCCTATATACATTTGTGGAGATCACAAATTATGTAACTAGAATTACGTATGGCTGTATTTCGTCTTTAAAATGAAAGCTATGGTGCAGTATAAAGCCGATTCTTTTCATGCTTACCAGTTGACCGCTTAACTCTGTGTGGACGGCTATTCCGCTGCTACCAGTTTGTCCAGTGGCTTGCCACGTACGTCAGTGGACTTGTGACTTGGAGCAGAGTTGACTGCGATGATGTGGTTTGAATCTGGCAAAGAACAGTTCCTTAAAGCAGATAAAACAGAAACAAAAGCCAAGAAATAAAATAACCAAGTTAATAACAGGGTGAAAATGTGGTAAAATCTTAAAACGTGGTAGAAATCAGGCATTTTCTTTTTTTTCTAGATTTTTGAATTTGCTTTTGAAAACACTGTTGATTGGGTTTAGGGAAGTGGGAGGGTGGGTCAGTTGATAGGTCAGTCAGTCAGTCGCCTCTAGTGGGTTTACGCGAAAACAGCAGGCACAAATGGCTCTCGCGAAAGAAATTTGAGATCTCAAAAAGCATACACAACTGCCTCTGGTGGATTCGTAAAAACAAAAACTACAAAAAAACATACCTCCTGGTACATATTTGGCGCTCTCCAGAAATGTAAATAGAGGTACGTTTTCAGAATGAGCCTGTGTTATTGTTATACATGAACATATACATGTTCCCAAGTACAAAGTTGTGGCTCAGTTTAATGACCATCTCTGACCTCCCACCACCTTTTTTTCTTTATTATCACTTCAGGCTCTGCCACCAGGAGCCATGCAGCAGCTACCAAAGAGACCGACCCTGGAGAAGAGCAACGGCGCTGCTGCCGTCTTCAACCCCAGCATGTTCCACTACCAGCAGGCGTTAGCCAGCATGCAGCTGCAGCAGCCAGCGTTCATTCCCACAGGTGAGCCCAAACAGACAGATCTCCCCCCTCCGGTGTCAACTTATTCCTGTAATAGATTGGCTTGCACATATTCAGCACTTTAAAAAGCAAAGTGCCTGGCTAGACGAGGACTTGAGCACTTTTTCTGCTTGCCATCTCTCTCCCTGTAAGCCCACTTGCTCTCTTAATCTCGTAGTTGTCCACCGTATGCACATGTCATGCTAATTAGTCTCATGATGCACACAGTCCTGCAGTGTCTCCTCATGCACCTGCACCTGAGCTTCAGCCACTCTTGTTCTCATGCTGCAATGCACTATATTCACTCTTAGTAGGAGATTGCCTTTTGCATAAATGACCGTAGCAGTGACCATATGGCCATATAAAGAGAGGATAGTTGCAGTAGGTTTGCCAGCCAACAGAGAGTTTTAAAAACTCAAAATTAGAGCTCGGTGGCTTTTTATGTAATGCTGCTGTGGTGATGAAGTGCTTTTGTGGGCCAATTCAGAAATTAGCACCACCCTTTAAAACACAATTTGATTTTTCCATTAGCTTTTGGCTTATTATTTGTCTATTTTTGACAAATGATGTCAAAATGTTGTTTAATTAGGGCTGTTCAGGTCTGAAAAATTCCAAGAATTGGTTCTTAGCTGTTGTTGTGATTATTTCCTAGTTCTTTCTTACGCTCCACCTACAGTTCAAGGCATAGTTCACCCAAAAATGTGAATCCATTCATAGTGTACTTAATGACTAAGTTTAAATAGACATCAGTAATGTAATCATTTGCCTTAATCTGAATAAGACAACACAGTGGTCCCTTGTTATTTGCGGGAGTTAGTTCTAAAATTAACCCACAATAGGCAGTCAGCTTTATTTTTTACAATTATTATAAATGTTTTAAGGCTGTAAAACCCCTCACTATACACTTGATACACTTTCCTCAGACAGGCATTAACATGTAAACACTTTTCTCTCTTGTTTAAACACTCTCAAAGTTCAAACCTTTGTAGAAAAATATGTCCATTATTATAGAATGAAACCAAAGCTCAAAACCATTTGAACTTCATTTATTTATTCCGTAATGGTGCCCTACATAACTACTACCTTCTTTAGCAAGTCCAGAAGTCCAACTTTTTGTGTGATGGTTAGCATCTTCCGCTGCCTTTTGGGTGCTACCGCAGGTGCCTTTGACGGAGCAGAACTTTACATTACATTACATTTTATACAGTACAGCACTTCAGAGTCACACTACTAGCGATCAAAGATTTATTTAAACTTGGCAAGCTGAACCATTTGGTACTGTACAGGAGACACGGCACGGAGGAGATTGATTGACAAGAGTCTACAGCCAATCAGGACGCAGAACACAATGCGTTAATAAGAAAGCAGAACACAATGCACTGTCGAAAAATTACATAAAAAAAATCCACAAAACTCAGAGGACACAAAAAGTGAACTGCGTTTTAGCGAGCATCCCTGTAATATGATTAAGGTGTTAAGATGAGTTACTTTAGATGATGTTCCTTTCATATTCCTGTTTTATGTTACACACAGTCTGATAAATATCATTATATGTAACTATTCTATGCTAGTTTCCTCTGGCATTTTACACAACAATAAGGATTTTGGGCGTTTCGTTTTTAATTTTGCGACAAGCTCACTAACTTTTCGTTAATGCTCCCGCGACAAATTCGGAGATAAACATTGAGTGAGCACAGTCATTTTCCCGCTCGCACCAAAAATGTGCTCTCTTGCTTGAAGCCATTCTCATTTGTTTGTCGTCAAGCACTTCACAAATGTCGTGTGTTCATCCTGACGCAAACTGTAGCAAAAAGTACTACAGAATGGTAATAGTTTGATCAATAATGCGCCTAAATAGGAATACTCCACATTTCTAAATCTGATTTCTGTTTAGTTGGATTATGACTTTTTATGAAATTTAAAACATGGAGCAGCCGCTCGCTTTTTTAAATGTCTAATAAGCTTGTTTAATCCCCCCCTTTTCGCTGCTCAGCACGACAGATTTTCGCACAAACAAACTTGAGTGTGACCGCAGCTTTAGTTTTAAACCTAATCACACACACCTGGGCTAGCTAATCAAGCTCTTATTAGGCTTTCAAGAAACATCCATGGATGCAAGTTGGAGCTAAAATCTGCAGGACAACAATTTAGACATTAGTTTAGACACCCCTGATGTAAACGTACTGATTGTCAGATAGTTTCAAACCTATATGGATTTTTTTTGTTGCTTGAACACAATAGAAAATGTTTTGAATAATGTTGGAAACTGGAAGCCATTGACATACATAGAATGAAAAAAAAAGGAAGACAGTGGCTACCAGTTGCCAAAATTCTTCAAACAGTTTTGTGTTCAACAAGGAAAAGATATTACTGATGTCCATATAATTGTAGTCATTGTAAAATTCAGACATCTTTGACATGATTTTCATTTTTGGGTGAACTTTCTAAAAAAACAATCTGCTGACAGCAGTTCGATATAGTGGCCAGTGGTGTTGTGCAGGTGGCTAATAACATTCATTCATTCATTTTCTTTTTGGCTAAGTCCCTTTATTAATCAGGGGTCGCCACAACGGATTGAACCACCAACTTAACCTGCATATGTTTTACGCAGCGTATGCCCTTCCAGCTGCAACCCATCAATGGGAAACACCCATACACACTCACTCACTGTCATACAAAACGGATAATTTAGCTCACCCAATTCCTGTACCGCATGTCTTTGGACTGTAAGGGGAAACCGAAGCACCCAGAGGAAACCCATGTGAACACGGAGAGAACATGCAAATTCCACACAGAAAAGCCAACTGACCCGACCGAGGCTCGAACCAGCAATGTTCTTGTGTAAAGCGAACGTGCTACCCACTGCACCACTGTGCAGTCCTGGCTAATAACAAGACTTTCTAAATTCAATGTATAGTCCTTTTAATCAAAAACTGATTGAAAATACTCAGGGTGATGCAAACAAGAAGTGCTAAAATTCTAACTTTTTAAATATTGCCTACAAAAATCACCTCAGCACTCTTTTTCTTTATAGACTAGCTATACACTTATGTGGACAATTTTCCAGATTAACAATCAACAATATTACCAGATGCAGATTTTCCTTCCTAGATTGAGAATTTCCCTCTAATTCCACATGACAATGACATGTAACAGATAAAATGCAGCATGGCTATGACATAAACTGCATTATAGATCACCAAACATTTGATTTTAGTAGTCAATACAGAAATGTCTTTGCATGAGGTATTTGAAGGAAACATGAAATCAAAATGGGCCCTTTAAAATAATAAAAATATACCAAATATTCTTAATAGGCTAGTGCATGCTTTTTGAAGCACGGAAATAGCTTTCTATGCCATTTTAAAATGGAAAAACCTCAAAGTGTCACAATCGCCAGCAATCCAGCGTGTGCAGATCGCTGGTAAACATGCAGATCACTATAAGGACTACAGATCAGACGGTATATGGACTACAAGCTTCCGTCATGCACTACTCACACTCCTGGCCTAGATCCCCATGATTGAATACAGACACAGCTGAAGCTACTCATGAACTGATTACATGGACTATAAAGTCAGCACACAAACACACAGAAGTGGCTGAGTCTTCTGTAATGGGAAGTGACGCTGGTGCGGACCAAATGCAGGATTTTTTTAGCAGGAAGGTCAAGCAAGCAATGGTCAAGATAGGGGCAAACAGATATACACAGGAAATCCAGAGTCGTAATCAAATAGCAGGCAGATGGTCAGTACAGGCAGGCAGCAGGCAACATAAACAAACATACAAGGTGAGGGTCACAAACACGGCAAGACAAGGCAAGGAAAACGCGTCGTAATTTTCACATTCAGTATAACAAGACTCAGCCCTGAAGTGTGTGTGTGTGTGCTATATAAATAGTCCTAGTAGTGGAGCATGACTGGATCTTGTAGTCCGGCAGATTTGTAGTGCTTATAGTAAACTGCATGTTTACCAACGATCTGCACAGGCTGGATCACTGGTGATTGTGAAACTAAGTACTGTCTGAAATTTCAGTCAAAAATGAAATATTTTTCTCAGCCTCCTTTGTTTATATTTCATTATTTCACTTTAAAGACATGAAAAAAATATTCCTTGCCATAAAAGAGAAATTCCTGAACCAACACAAGAGCCTAATAAAAATTGTAATTTTAAAAGAACATTTCAGACAGCATTTATTTGGGTGAACTCTTTAGTTCACCCAAAAGTTCACCTTATACTTTTTCTTACCCTTCACCTACTGTCTAATTTTCTTTATTCTGATAAAAAATGTTATTTTGAAGAACATTTAGTTGTTTCCTGTTCATATCCTATTTTTCAGCATACTATGGAAGACAATTTTAGCTTTAAATGTCTTCTTAATACAAGTGTAGGAACAACTTCAGGGTGAATAAATGATAACCAAATCCATTTTTGGCTGAACATTTCCTTCCATACACCGCACATTTCCAAAGCTAAATGACTCTGAATGCTGTTGCATGTTGTTTTTAGTGAAAAAAAAATCAAGCCATCAAACCAAACAGCTATTGGGCTAATCCTCTGACAAGACTTAAATGAGTATCGACACAACAACGGATTGGCATCCAGGTTAACATCCCTGTCCTGATGAGCACTTTTCTACCAGCGTGATTCATTTCCTCTTGGTTTCTCCCTGCTTTGTGTCCGTGTCTCCATCTCGCCACAATGTTGCCCATAATGACGGTCATCGCTCTTTCGCTGTCTGTCACTAACTCTAAAGTTGTTTTGTCTTGTTCTCATGCTGCTTTCCCTCCCCGTTTTCCCCATGTCTTTCACCCCTCCGTGGTCTGTCTTCTCCTGGGCTCTTTGTGCATGGTGTTGCAGGCTCCGTTTTCTGCATGGCTCCATCTGGAGGCATTGGTAGGTCACTTCCCAGTCTCTCTGGATCAGTGGTTTTCTTACAGCAGCGTCTCAGATCTGTGACAGACAGGAAGGTGATCCACACTTTACTCTAAAGACCTCCAGCACTGTAATAAAGGGGTTTCTTTTGCTGAGGGCTCTTTTATGTCCCAGACGACGGCTTTTGTTTGATTTTGTCGGTTACATGTTGTTAGTGCCCTTAATTTTCATTTGTTTTTAAATGTCTTTTGTGTATACTTTTTATTGTTTTATGCTCATCCGAGATCCAGGTATTCATTTCAAAATATAACAACTCATTAAAACAAAAATATATGAATTATTGTATGATTATAAACATGGTTGATATAGTCACAGTTTTAATTTTTAATTGTAAAGATCTGTGATGTCAATTTTAAATGAATAGAAATAAGAAATCTTTGCATATCATTACTACATTTCTTTACCTTTGCTAATTTAAAAAAAAAAGATAAATATTACTTGATTATCACAAAATTATTTAATATTATTATTTTTATATTATAAAATAAAAAACATTTCATTTTTAATGTGTATATATATATTGGACAATGAAACTGAAACTGAATACAGCATAAAATCATCTTGGGAATGAAAGTTACTGTACAACACCTGCACAGTGGCCAGAGGGATTTTGAGCCATTCTTCTTGCAAAACAGTGGCCAGGTCACTATGTGATGCTGGTGAAAAAACGTTTCCTGACTAGCTCCTCCAAAATACCCTAAAGCAGCTCAATAATATTTAGATCTGGTGACTGTGCACGACATGTGAGATGTTCAACTTTACTTTCAAGTCCATTAAACCACTCTGTCACCAGTTTTAATGTGTGTATTGGTGCAGGATCATCCTGATAAACAGCACCGCCTTCAGGATACAATGTTTGAACCATTGGGTGCACGCTGTCCTCCAGAATGGTTCGATAGTCCTTGGCAGTAGCTACGTGGTTGATGGAAACGTCAAGATGCGCATCAATTTTGAAAATAAACATAAAAACATGTGCATAACTGAGTAGGATAAACGTTTTATTCGATAAGAAAAGATGCACATAAAGTATGATGACAACACTTTTAGCGAACAAATTCCAGTATGCGCATTAAAAAAGGTCATGTGATATTGTTATAAGGGATCATGTGATGATAAAAATGTGTGTGAATGGACAAACCAGCTGTCTGAGCACACTGTAAAACATCTGAAATGTTGTTTTGGTTATTCTAAAACACCTTAACCGTATCAGTATTAGTGTTATTATATTATTAATGACCTCCAGAATCAAGAGCGTCTGCGCTTTGCGTCTCACACCTTCAAACTCCACCGCAAGTCAGGATTTTCTTCTGAGGTGCAATTCATTTATTAAATGAAGAAAAGATTCACGCAGATTCTCTTATTTGATTTTGTTCACTTTGACATGTTGAGTGGAAACGATGCTTTATTCGCACATCTTTTATGCGATAATCCAGTTTTGCGCATAAAGTTAATTCGCATTTTTGGATGGAAACATAGCTAGTGATGCGCCCATCGAGCACAATTATTAGGCCTGGGAAATGCTATTATATTGCAGCCCAAACCATCACTAATCCACCCCTATGCTTTACTCTGGGCATGCAACAGTCTGGGGGGTACGCTTTTTTGTGACATCTCCAGAATGAACCTCTCTCAGATGTGAGAAAGACAGGAAAGGTGGATTCATCAGAGAATAATACATGTTTTACATTGTCCACAGCCCAAGATTGAAACCAACGTTTGACATTGGTATGAGTGACCAAAGGTTTGGCTATAGCAGAAAATGTATACGGCCATGTATATTGATTCTGTAGACAGACAGTTTTGTGGAAACAGGATATTTGAGGTGCACATTTAATTCTGTAGTGAGTTGAGCAGCTGTGCTTTTAGGGTTTTTTTTAGAGACAATCCAGAGTAGCACCCAGACATCCCTTTCAGACATCTTCTACTTGCATCCACAGGTCCTCCTGTTGAATGTGGTTCGTCCTTTATGATAATTTGCTGGCATTACCTTGGATAGCGTAACTCTTGATACGTCACAAAGACTTGCTGTCTTGGTCACAGATGCATCAGCGAGACGTGCACCAACAACTTATCCTCTTTTGAACTGTGATATGTCACCAATTATGTTGTGTATATTGCAGTATTTTAAGCAAAACTGTGCTTTTAGTCTGCTAATTTAACCTTCGCACTCTTCACTCTGATGAAATGTGCAATCAATGAAGATTGGCCTTCAGGCTGGTCAAATTTAGCCATGAAACCTCCAACATTAAATTGGCCAGTGTTTTAGTTTCATTGTCCAACCCTTGTGTATACAATATAATCATGAACTAGTTTCATATTCATTTTAAGTAAATGTTAATTCAAGTCAGTAATCTTTAAATCACATCATGAAATGGTTTTCATGATTTTCAATCAAGTGGAAAAGTCAACAAAAAAGTGCTCATAGGCAAAAAAACAACTAATTTCTTACACAGTCGTTTTTCTCAAACCGAAGGCTGTCCTGTCTGTCACTGCGTTCACACTCAACCTGCACACTTTTACCGCTTCTTATCATTTGCTCATTATTTTTCTGCTTGTGGTGTGAAGAATGTGTTTGTGCATGCATGTGTGCGTGCGTGTGATTTGGTGTGCGGCTGACGGCACAGTGCGGGCACAAACAACAGGCCAAAGCCTTCAGTGTGACTCATTAAGACTGGTTCCTTTTTCTTTGTGCCTTTTCCTCCTCATCCTCTCCTCTCCCTCACCTCCTGAAATCTATTATAGGCCTATTCAAACCCCCCGGCCCAATGACAGAGGGCCGCTGGGAGAGGCGGGACTGGACCGGCTGCAGGGCCCCCCAAAGCCGTTACCTGTCAGGGCCTGGACATACTGGTGAGGGTAGAGACTAGGCCCCGTCCCCTCACAAACACACACTACTTTACCGTCACAGGGACAGTTCACAATTCAGAAAATTCTGTCATTTATTTTCAAATATGAGTTTCTTTCTTCTGTTGAACACAATAGGAGATATTTTGAAGAATGTGGAAGCCATTGACTTCCAATAAACAGAAATTCTTACTATGGGTGTCAAAGGCTACCATTCTCTTCAGTTTTGGTTGAACTATCCCTTTAACCCGTTTAGAAAGGTAGACAACCTCTCCCAGTGTTAAAAACCTAACACAAACACTACTCCACACACATTTACATGCCCACAGATTTTGGCCATAGTCTTTAACAGTCATTTAGCTGGGTAGCAATCTTGTCAAAGCAATAGATCTGTGCTGAACCTGAGAGTGTGCCAGTGTGTGACTGTGTGCATGTCTATATTTTGTTTTTTATGTCATCACTGGATGCATTTGCTGTTTACATACCATGCTGTGTTTATTTGCAGGTTTTCCATATAATATGACCTTTATCTTGTTATTTCTTATAAATGGGTTTATCTGATAGTCCAAAATTCTTTGTTCATATTTGGGTCAAAGACACTTTGGTATCTGCATCAAAATAAGTTTATAGGAAACATCAAATACCAAACAAGTGTTCATGGTAAAGCTTTCACTTTTATGACAAAATGACTACGTTCCATAGTCATTCAGTGTAACACATTTGCGCTGTTCGTACAAATAAGACCATGTGATTTTTTTCTATGTATTTAAAATATATAAAAGTACAAGTGATGATGCTAAATTTAAGCATATACTCACTGGCCACTTTATTAGGTACACCTATCCAACTGTTTGTTAATGTAAATTTCCAATCAACCAATCGCATGGCAGCAACTCGATGCATTTAGGCATGTAGACATTGTCAAGGCGATCTGCTCTCATTCAAACCGAGCATCAGAATGGGGAAGAAAGGTGATTTAAGTGACTATGAACGTGGCATGGTTGTTGGTGTCAGACGGGCTGGTCTGAGTAATTCAGAAACTGCTGATCTACTTGCATTTTTTTTACGCACAACCATCTTAAAGGTTTACAGAGAATTGTCCGAAAAAAAGAAAATATTCAGTGGGCGGCAGTTCTGCGGGCGCAAATGCCTTGTTCAGGTCAGAGGAGAATGGCCAGACTGGTTCAAGCTGATAGAAAGGCAGCAGTAACTCAAATAACAACTTGTTACAACTGAGGTATGCAGATGAGCATATCTGAACGAACAACATGTCGAACCATGAAGCGGATGGTCTACAACAGCAGAAGACCACACCGGGCGCCACTCATGTCAGCTAAGAACAGGAAACTGAGGCTACAATTCACACAGGCTCATCAAAATTAGACAATAGAAGATTGGAAAAACATTGCCTGGTCTGGTGAGTCTCAATTTCTGCTGCAACATCCTAATGGTAGGGTTAGAATTTGTCAACAACATGAAAGCAAGGATCTATCCTGCCTTGGATCAATGATTCAGGTTGGTGGTGGTGGTGTGATGCTGTGGGGCTATTTATATGTGGAGACACATTACAAATTGAGCATTGTGTCAACACCACAGCCTGAGTAATGTTGCTGACCATGTTTATCCCTTTATGACCATAGTGTACCCATCTTCTGATGGCTACTTTCAGTAGGATAACACGCCATGTAATAAAGCAACAATCAACTCAGACTTGTTTCTTGAACATGACAATGAGTTCACTGTACTCAAATGGAATCCACATTCACCAGATCTCAATCCAATAGAGCACGTTAGGTATGTGGTGGAACGGGAGATTTGCATCATGGATGTGCAGCCGACAAGTCTGCAGCAACTGCGTGATGCTATCATGTCAATATGGACCAAAATCTCTGACGAATATGTTTAGTACCTTGTTGAATCTATACCACAAAGGATTACGGCGGTTCTGAAGGCAAAAGGGGGTCCAACCCTGTACTAGTAAGGTGTACCTAATAAAGTGGCCGTTGAGTGTATGTTAAATATTTAAAATGTTCTTTCTAACAAATGTGTACAGCCTAGTGGGTTGAAAGATTGAGAAAATATAAAGATTTAAAATCCCATTTCAGTCAGTTGCACCATCCAGCAGTTTGTTATCCCCTGATAACCTCCAGTACAAACTGATAACTCAGGCTCATCCTGAACATTGAAGTCTGTGCTATACGCTTGCAAGGAATTGTTTTTTCTTTGAAGAGGCAAGCAAAGGATTAAAAACAAATCTAAGGCTGCAACAATATGAAGTTTGTGCCTGATAACCCATAACCTTTTAAATTTGGAAGCTGATAACCTGATATAAAAAGTTGTGTGATTACCAAAACAAAAGGCAGAAAAAACACCTGGACAACATTTTTTTTTTTAAAACTTGGCATAAAACAAAGAAACTGCAAGGAAACATTTTTTTTATTTTCTCAAAATCATCTGAGATACCAGATGCCATCATCTGGTCTTAATAAAGACAAAAATAATCTTTTATTAGTTAATGCAGATAAATTGTGTATTTCTACTCAGTTCTGTGTGTTGTGTGCTGTCATCCAGGTTACACAGACTTGCTTTTTTCCTGTTTCATACAAGCGCAACTGTTGCCATCTTAGGACTTTATTGAAGTCATTGAGCTTATTCTGTAACGCGGAAGTAAGCTCTTTTCTATTATTGTTTTAGAACTTGTGATTCACTTGCCTATGCGGGAAATGAGTAGGAATAACAGCAATAAAGGGTCAAACTACTTCCTCTACAAACAAGTTTAAGACAATACGCACAAATACACTACCTGACAAAAGTCTTGTCGTCTATCCCAGTTGTAAGAGCAAAAAAAAGACGACTTCTAGTTGATCATTTGGAAAAGTTGCAGAAGGTAGATTTCTTTGATGAATCATCTGTTAAACTGCATCTCAATCATCACAAATACTGAAGAAGACCTATTGGAACCAGCATGGACCCAAGATTCTCACAGAAATCAGTTAAGTTTGGTGAAGGAAAAATCATGGTTTGGGGTTAAATTTAGTATGGGGGCATGCGAGAGATCTGCAGAGTGGATGGCAACATCAAGAGCTTGATGTATCAAGACATTTGTGCTGCCCATCACATTACAAACCACAGGAGAAGGTAAATTCTTCAGCAGGATAGCGCTCCTTCTCATACTTCAGCCTCCACATCAAAGTTCCTAAAAGCAAAGAAGGTCAAGGTGCTCCAGGATTGTCCAGCCCAGTCATCAGACATGAACATTATTGAGCATGTCTGGGGTAAGATGAAGGAGGAGGCGTTGAAGATGAATCTAAAGAGTCTTGATGAACTGTGGGAGTCCTGCAAGAATGCTTTCTTTGTCATTACAGTTGACTTTATTAATAGGTTTTTTGAGAGATGTATGGATGCAGTCGTCCAAGCTCATAGGAGTCATACACAATTTTAACTCTTTTTTTTTTCCACTGCACCATGACTTCTTATTTCTGTTAAGTAAGACTTTTGTCTAAGCAAAGTTAGACATTACTGTCCTAATTAAATAATTCAAAATCAAGGCATGATCATATTTTGTTTTGGTAAAGTAAGCGTAATCTAGAGGCCTTTGCCTTTCATATAAGCCACTTCTGATACCAAATGATCAACTAGAAGTCAAGTTATTATTTGTTATTCCTAAAACTTGGATAGGCGACAAGACGGAAAGGCCAGTTTGCACCACTAAGCAGCATAACAAGCTGTTTTTATACAGGTTAAATTCAATAGATGGGAATGAAGCCTCAAAACAATTAGGTTCCACCTGCTGTGCCTATACTTACGTAAAAAATAAAGTCAAGAAATTATTTTGTAAATGAAAAAGGATGATGTTTGCATTAATAGTAATGTAATGCTATGTAGTTCGTATAATCTTACCAGGACAATTGTTTTGTAATGGATTGCAAGATCATCTAAAATCAGTTGGTTTTTTTCTCCCTATGTAAAAAGCAGTACAAAATGTGCCTCTAGTTTTGCTAGCTGCTTTCTTCACAGAAGCAATGCGTTTAATGGGTTAATACTTCATTTTTGTCTCAAATCCCTATTTTGCAAGAAATAAGCTTCAACATGTACATCCAACTGGTTGATATTGCAAATTAAATGTCTCCTGGATGAAGCTCTTTCTTGCTTCAATGCACCATTGGATGTACATAGTTCGTATTATATCATCAAATAATTCTTGTCCTAAATATGTCTGACAGGATTGTTTAGTAAAAGCTATTGTTGCTCTGAATGACATTTCAATGAGTGTCTTCTGTAAATCATTGTAAAAATGTATGACACTAATACACGTTGTACTGTGTAAGGCTTGAAGCTTATTCTGCTATTCTGAATCAGTAATTGGAAACAGAAAGCAGTTAAAGGATGGTGTGTTTAAATCAATCATTTATCTGACTCCATTATAATTAATCTGACTCCATTAAAGTTGTTATCATCATTGATAAAGAGAATCTCAACTCCTTAAAGCAGGCATGGTTGTTTATTAAGTTACATGCTTAAATATACAGACAATAGAATGAAACAAACTAACATACTCTATAGAGAAACTTAGCTGTGACATAAAAGCTGCTGTGTAAAAAAGACAGTGAAACCGGTGTGCGGGAGAAGCAAAATAAAAGCTAATCTCCCCCAATCAATAGTCACCTTTCCTTCTTATACCCTGAGCAAAGTATGGTCAAACATGAGTGAAATACCCAACCCCCAAAACCAGCTGAACATCAAAGTTGAGGAGATAAAGTGGGGGAGACGTGCATTAACATACTCTCCTAAGGCCATGACTGAACAATGGTAAATCTATTAAACATTGATATACATCTCTGTTGATTTCATCACTACAATGCTGGTTATAAACTGTCAAATAACACCAAACATGACAACGTTATATGAAAAAAGATCAGAAGAAAATGAATTGTGTATGGTGAAAAGCACATGGTTACTGTAAGCAAATGGCAGAGCTGTGTAGAAAAGTAAAGGTTTATTTATATAGCACCTTTCCCTGACATTGAGTCACAAAGTGCTTTACAAAAAGAGAAAACCAGAAAACAAGTAAACATCAATAAAATAAAACATATTGAAACAAGTTAAAAATCAAGTACAGAAACACTGATACTGTCAATGAAAAGCTTGACCAAAAAGATGTGTCTTTAAATACTTTTCAAGAGTTCACACTTAGCTGATGATTGATTGTAAAGCTTGTTTGGGATGCTGTTCTGGGATAGAGCCCTGAGCTCATAAGATCCTCGAGCCTGGGGCTTCCTCCCATTTGCAAGGCAAAAGGGTAGTTTGAGCTCAGGTAGATCTTGAGAACTCCCCTGCTGTAGTAGCTAATGAACAGATAGTGATTGCTCTTAAGATATAACTACTTACTATGAGCATGTCTATGGTGCCAATTTAGATTATTCAATTAACTGAAGTTAAATGTTTTTAGACGGTGGGAGGGAACTTGGGAACCCGGTGGAACCCACGTGAACACAGGAAGAGCATGTAATCTCTGCACAGAAACGTTGTCTGGCTTGGTAAGGACTAGAACCAGTGACTAATTGCTGTGAGGCAACAGTGGTAACCACTGGGCCACCGTGCCACCAATCTAGGAAAGGAGGAGGTGTAGGGGTGGAAGGAAGGATTCTTCAAAACGCAGATGGCTGTTATATGGAACTTAGAGTATTCATAGTGGCTTAGGAATCGTCTGATCTGTGAATCATAAATTGAATAATGCAGGGCCGGCCGCAAACAATCATAAGCACGTGATCCTCTCGAAATTAGTTTATAAATAAACTTCTCTTTAAAAGATCAACTGATCCTAGATTTCTCAATGCAATAGGGAGAGAGTTCCAGAGCCTTGGGGCCACAACACAGAAGGCATGGTCACCTTTAGTCTTAAGACGAGTTCTGGGAATGGCTAAAAGGTCTTTGCCAGAAGACCTCAGAGACCGGCTACATGAGTGACTACGTAAAAGATCTTTAATGTAGGGGTGCTTGCCCACGCAGAGCTCTATATCTAATGACCAGAATCTTAAAATTTACTGTAAAACTATTAAGAAGCCAGTGAAGTGCCTTAAGCACAGGAGTAATGTGCGATTTCCTACTGGTGTTGGTTAAAAACCTCATCACTGCATTCTGCACAACATTTATTCAGACAAGTAAACAGAACATTATAATAATCCAACCACGAAGAGACAAAGGCCTGGGCAAGCTTCTCCGTCTCCTCCTTTGAAACAATATTTCTGATTTTTGCGATGTTGCTCAGATGCAAAAAGCATGTACGAACAACAGACTTACCATGGCTATTAAAACACAGAGCTCTATCAAAGATGAAACCCAGATTTCTAATGTCACTGCAATTTGAAGATGACAAACTCCCAAAAACTTGCCTGATCATTGGGGTGATTCTATGGGAAGCAAAAATTAACATTTCAGTTTTATCGTGGTTCAACTGCAGAACATTTTCGGCCATCCATTTGTTAATGGAGACTAAACAATCCTGCAAGAGAGACCGTTTGTCCAGCCTTTCAGGGCTAAAAGAAAAATATAATTGTACATTATCTGCTTAGCAATGATAAAATATAACTGTAAAACTACTAATAATCTTGCTAAAAGGAAGCATACAGTATTAAATTAAAAAGAAGAGGGCCTAGGACAGAACCTTGTGTACTGAAGCTGTGAGGAACTCTGCCATGCCAGGAGGACCCGTCCCATGCTTGGAATGTCTCAGTAGTCCTTCATTAGCATAGAAGGAATAGCATATAACTTACAACTGTAATTTAAACAGCACATCTTCCTTATACATTTATAAGTGTTTTAGACTTGTTTTGATGCACGAAACCCATCTTTGACCCATTTAAAGAAGTTGCAAATTGAAATGCAAGGTCACCAAACCAAAGAAGTAAAGGGTCATATTATGTTAAGGCGATATCTGAACTGGAATGAGCTGCATATTTACATTCTCTGCTTGTTCCACTTGTGTGTGTTTATCCATTATCTGGCCCTCATCAAAATATTTCAGTCTGTCCCAAATGAGTGTGATTTTGATGAGGGCCACGTTTTGATTTTCGCCCATTAGAGGATGCTCAATAGTTTTATCTAAATGTAACCATGGTGGGATAAAACTGTCTCAGCTGAAACCTAATGAAACAAAAGGTGTTTTTAAGTTTGCATGTTTTCTGGAGTGAAAACATCATCTTTGCGGTACATGAAGACGTAGTTGCCATGACTCAGCCTGTTCCTCTGGCATATTATGGTCATGGTACTCATAACATTCCTCCTCCCCTCCACCTTCCCCCTTCCCTTGTTTCTTGTCTGACTCGCCTGAAAAAAGTTCCCATGATGCACGGTGCCACCACTTCCACTGTTTCGTCGGCTACGACCCCAGTCACCAATGTTCCTTTTGCTGAATCAGCCACCTCCAACCAGGTTTGCCCCTTCATTTTGGCCTCTCCTTTTTACAGCTGTAGAGCTGCCGACTCTGGTCCATAGACAATAATGTTTTAATTCAGAAATATATATTTTTTCAAATCTCAATGGAAGGACTGCTAGTGTGATCTGAGTGACAACAAAGTGTTTTCTGATCCAAAATGGCTGACCTTGAGTCTTTGAGTTCTCTGTGGACCAGTGAGGTGCCTCTTTTACCTCTTTAGCACAATGTCCCAGTTCCACCATGTGTCTGTGTGTGTTCACATCTCTGTCTGTCTGTTTCAGTGTCTTCACTGTGTGTGTTAGAGAGCAAATGGCTGCATTTAAAGGATGATTCGGTTAAAAATGAAATGTCTGTCATTGATTTCCATCATGTTGTTCCAAACCTGTAACACTGTTTTTTCTTATACTATTGTTGAATCAGTAGCCAGATTTTCCATACAGCAGCAGGTCACAGTGACCACGTTAAGAGCTAAATATGTAAAATACTCCAGAAAAAAGTGTCCTATATGATTATAATCAAGTCTTTGAAGTTATAGGATAGCTTATATGTTAAAATAGTCTGGGTTTTTAAAGCATGATGATATATTATGATTGGCTGCTTTATCCTCCAGTAACTGAAAATATAAACAAATAAAAAAAATATCTGAAATTAATTTCGGTGATGTAATTACTCCAATATGTCAGTATTATAATTGTAGTGTAGACCTATTCTCTTGTGGAATTAGATTTGTTATAAAAGTGGCCTGTTGTGCTTTTTCCAGTATTACATTTCATACAGTGCATAATTTAGCTGTGTATGGATGCAAAAGATTTGCAAGTTATTGTCACTGAAAAGAAACTGCTGAAATTAGTTATGTAGATCCGTAACATTTGCGTAATACTAGCATGTGGTTTTCATTAACTACCAACTGGCGTCTACTTTGACTCTCAAACAGTGTAGCTTGTTCATGTTGTCAATGATATGTTAAGAAGAAGCATTTAGTGGAAAGACAAACCACAGAAAAAACAACTGATGTAAATTCTGCAAATTCAGCTGCAAAATGAATCTTGCATTATATTTGCACTTTGGTTATGATCAGAAAATTAGCAGGAATGAGTGTTCGCATTCAACAAATCTGTTTTTTTTTAGTCTGTAACTAATCTAAACACATCTAATTGCCCATACGTGATTGGCTATTGTTCTCTTGTTATGTTGCTGTAGAGGAATTACACAGGTCAAATAATGTAGCACAGTTTAAGGCCCCGTTTACACTAATGCGTTTTAGTTTGAAAACGCCTAAGTTTTGCTACGGTTACGCCATCCGTCCACACTACGCCGGAGTTCTCGAGCGCCGAAAACGGAGCGTTTCGAAAACGCTGGAGAGGCCGTTTTCATTCTAAAACGCTGCTGCTCCGTCTCAGTGTGGATGGGGAAAGACGGAGACATCTGAAAACGGAGGCGGGGCTGCCGACATTCGCCTCTCTGATTGGGGCTTTTCCTCAACATTAAGTAGCCTAACACACAGTTCAGTCCTGAATCTTCTCCGTGTAAGTTCAGACTTCGCAAGTTTGATCAAGGCTGCATCTCTTCTTCTCAGTTTGATATGGAAAACATACCGAGGACACGCGTCAATCTTCACAGGGAACAGTGTACTTTATAACTTCATTCACATCACCTTGGCTACGTTGTTTCACTTTCTCAACAATAAAATGTAAACTTGATATAAGGAACTGCCTATTTTTATTTTAATATTAACAACTAAACAGACAGCAGAAATGTTGAGGCGTCGTGCTGCATGAGCGTCATCTTCACTGTGTGCATATTTATAAAAAAAACGGAGCCGATAACAACACTGCCTCCTTTCAATTTCAGTGAAAATACAAAACATACCCTCTCTTTTGCTGAATATCAGTTTTAATAATCGATAATGGCCATTATAAAAGTATAACATACAATAAGTTTATACATTATAGGAAATAAAGGCAAGCGATCAGTTAATATACAGAATGTAGGCTACGTGCTTACATTAATCATTAACTTATCTTTGCGCTCAGCCAAAACACATTACCTGAGAACAAGTAATAGATTCCAATGACCAAAGTCAGGGAATATGTCGTTAGATAAAGACAACAAGATGAATGAAATATCACGTTTAATAAATATAGTGAGATTAGATCCAGCGGGAGATGCTTGATGAGAAGTCCGACTAGCAGAGCTCTCATCTGGGTGGGTAGACAGGCTCCAGCGATTGCCAAAGTGTGTGTGTGTGGTCACGTGATGTGCGTTTTCAGCGTTTTGGTGTGGACGGAGAGCAGTTCAGAAACGCTGGGTAAATGCGAGTGTGGACGCGGATCGTTTTCATTCTAAAACGCCGTTTTAAAACTAAAACGCACTAGTGTAAACGGGGCCTAAGAACAACTCAGAGAAACATACACAGAGAAAAGTCCCACTTTAATCATTCTTGTGTCGGAGGTTATGGTTGATCTGCTAGTACTGATTTTTTATTATCAGACTCAGCCTTGAACTGATATGATCAAATCAGCAGCATTGTTCATGTTCTCCAGTATGTACAGTCACTTTGGACTGAGAAAATGTCCAGAAATTAACTTCGAATGGTAATTGTCATTTAGTTTTTAATGTCTGCTGTAAACAATACACCAATCACAGTAGACTGGGCCATCTGACGAATCAGAGCTGAGCTGGCTCATGAAAAGGAGGGGTTAAGGAAGAATGAATCTTCCTCACTTTATTTGCGCTTATATGAAATGTATATTACGAGAAAATGAAAATATTTTATTATTATTTTGGATACATGTACTTATTGAAAGAGCCCAGCAGGCACAGGAGGTCAACATGACGTCAGATAGACCAATGTTACGGGGATGTTGAATTTTGTTTGGAAATGAAAACACTTTTAACGTCTAAACCCAACATCAATGTCCAACATCCTAAAATCAACCAAACATCAATGTTTAATGATTTTACTGACGTTGTGTGGACGTTATCACTATGACATCTGTCAGACATTGAATTTTGGTTGCCAGACCTGATAAATAAATGTCAGTATTTTCTGTCAATATGACGTTGGATTAAGATGTTTGCTCTATGTTGGATCTGGTCACTTTCAAACACAACCTAAAATCAACCAAATATCAACGTCATTTGACTTCATTATTGGATGTCAAAATAATGCTGTCCTTACACACTGACTAGACATTGAATTTTGGTCGCGTGATGTCACAACCTAAATCTAACCTAATATTAACCTCTTATGACATTGTTTGCCTGCTGGTATACCTCCAAATACACATTTTAAAAGAGCATAATAGGGTTTATGCGGAAGTATGCTAAAGCACTGCATTAAATTACATTTTCCCCTTAATATCTTTAAAATATAAACTTTTATTTTACCCCAGTATATTCAATGGAGCTTCTGCGCTAGCCTGTCGATTCTGACGGGCGTTTGCATGTAAACGGCTTTTCGTCTCGTTTTACGCTTGAGCAACTAAATGAATGCCATAGTCTAATAAACTGATTATATTTTAATTATATTACAACCTCAATGCTGTAAAAGGAACCGTATAAAATGGGAAAAAGTCACTTTGACTGTTCACCAGAAATTTATCAGTATAGGAATAAATTCTAGCTCAGCATTTACCCTATTGACCTTATTCTAAAATGCAGAAGTGCGCCTGTTTTCGCGATTGTCTTAGAACTTCTGTTTCAGTCTCCTATAGGAGAAATGACTCGTAACAATAAACGGCAAAAAACGGTCAAACTACTTGCTCTACAAACAAATGTTTGCATGACTATACAGACCAAGTAGAATAATATAACCAGGAAATATCAGTTTGCTACATCAAACAGCGAAACGAGCTGTTTTTAATGTCTTAAAATGAATGGAAGTGAATGAGACCAGACGTCTTGTGCCAAAAAGATTCAAATGGCTGCGCCCGCTTGTCCGCGGAGAATAAGGTGAATAGGGGCACTTATAACTTGTTTTAGGGGCTGTTTGCACGACAACTTTTGCCTGTTCGTTTACAAAACAACATTGTTTATTAGAACTGAATTTTGAAAATGGCACTATCGTCGTGTCCGTGAAAACAGCTAAAAATTAAAGTCCTTAAGTTCTTGGATGGAACAACATTCCAATCAGCCAATCAGAATTAAGGCATACATTTAACTTTTACGTTAAGTTTAGGTTTACAGTTAGGTTTATGCACATCTACGTGAGTGTTATCCAACTATTATTTCCCTCTGATTTTGGGAATAATTTACAGTTATGGTTTGGTTTAGAGTTAGGGAATAGGTATAGATTACATTTTTTAATAAGGATCAACATAGATGTAAATCCAGAATTGCTTTGTACCTGGCAAAATCATAATGTGCCATCTTAAACAAGCAGCAAATGCATGTGTCACTTCCATACAGGTACTGTAAACTAAAAAGGTGACAGCACTAAATACTGGCCTGCATTTTGGCCATTCTTGTGGATATCTGTAAATGCTGATCGTTTTTGCTTTTTTTGCTACGTTGTTGTCGTGTAAACGTAGCCTGAATTATCTTGCTTGGTGTTAGCAGCTTTTAAAAGCAATTCACGTCATATAGTCTAGTTTTAAGGAACAGTGATGAAGTTTATTGTAAACTGTTTCTGTGATATTGATTTGGAATGAGCAGTGAAAAGAAAAATAATCTTACAGGTTTGAAACAACATATCAGTGAGTAAAATGTTCTTTTTTAAATGAAGCATCTCTTTAAGTGCAAAAGCTCGTTGTCAAGTTCATTGTCTTCCCCTTTCACCATGTTTTAAGAAATGTGCACTTGGAGCAAGTTGTCTGTGTGGCTCACATTAGAGTGAGATGGTATATATGTCCTCTGCATTTCTCTGTCAATATGATGTGGGTGTCTATTTTCAGTCAGAGATTTTCTGATTTATTGTCTAACATTTATTGTCTTAATCTTACAGTTACCTTAAAAATACATAATGTGAGGAAACGGATAAATCATATACAGTTATGTATCCAGCAGGGTTATTCTAGTGTGCAGAAGGTGTCTTTGCTTACCTATTTATTACTTAAGTAGCAGCATTGTGGTTTGACTTAGCTGCCAAAAGGCTTGGAGTGTTTTTCAGCTCTAGTTCAGAATCTAATGTTAATTTTAAAGTACAGGTATAGACCAATAATGCGGCGCAGACCTGAGGTGTCAGCGCTCATTTCCTGCTTCGCTTGCTTTTATGCTGAAATACGTCTCGCAAAATTACACACACAGAATTGCAGATAACCGACGCAGTATGTCGCAATATTTATTCACTCACTTGTAATTCTCTCTCTCATTTTGGAAATGATTTGATGTTGGAGTAGATGAGATCAAAACTGACTACTTTGCATATTGCATGTTTGGCCATAAATGGTTCCTCTCCTTATCTGTGGGCTGTGTTTGTACCTGTCTTCCAGTAGACGCCGCCGAGGTACTGAGCGCCGACCCCATCGACCTCCAGTGCGTCCCTATGGAGGCCCATTTCTGTCCCGTTCCTAAACTCCTGGTGGCCGCACCCATGACACTGAATCCAGTAAGCCTCTCCCGCAATCCCACAACCTAATCAGGCCCATCGCTCACGCACCATGCTCCCAAACATAACAGAAAAATGAATGCAACAAACGTGTGCCTAATCAGTACGTCCTTAACGGGCAATACATTCATCCTCATATCAGAGATGCCCACTTCATTTGACGTCAACAAAGTTGATCTCGAAACAAACAGGCAATACTTAAGCTCGGACCTACAACTGTTTAAGGAAGCATGCCATCTGGATGCAAAGAGACGTTGAAGATGCTGAATCAGGGGTCGGAGCACTCTCGTAACTCACAGCCATACGAAAACATGCAAACCAATTCAAAGAGGAGGAGGAATTCTCCAGAGGTGAACATTAGACGCCGGCTTATTCGAGGTACGGTAAGAGGTGGAGCCGATGCAGATCATCAGCAGACAGAATGTTTGTTTGTTTTTTTCTTTGTAGAATGTGTGAGAGCTAATGATATTTTACATAGTTGTGGTGGTGGTGGTGATCTCTTTCACTTTGACTTCTAATTAATGAACGTGGCACGTTTTATTTCATGTTTACATTTCGAAATGTAGAAAACAAACGGTTATTTGAAAATGATTCATGCTTTTTTTTGTAAGATAATCTGTTTGTGATACCGATAGGTTTTTCGTTAAGAGGTTTTCAGAATGTTGTTGTTTGTGCCTTTGAGTTACAAGTGTGTGGACGTCTTTTCCCTCCCCCACGATTCTTCTGACTTACATTTGATCATAGACTAGGAAAGTATACCTGTGTAGCCTTTCAGGATCATCGTGTTGTCTATTTAGAGATGTGTGTGACTGGTTTTCCTTGGTCTCATAAAAGAGTATTATCCATTTAACCACTGTACAAACTGGTCTACTGAGATAAGTGTTAATATTCATGCCTGGAGTATCTCACTACGTATTTCAAGCTCCACATTGAGACAGAAGATTGGTTCACATACTCATACCTCCATTTTAAAAATAGAACTGCCTTAAGCAGACTAAATATGAGTACTTCTTGTTGACGCACACTTCAATGTAAGGTCTGATTGCAGGCCTTCTGGATGTATAAAATGTCACATCGAGAAAGATTTGAACTGGACTTTTTATGTTCCAGCTGGACTTTGTTTAATAATCTTTTTATTTCGTATGATCGTATGATGTCCTGGATTTTCCAATATTCATTGACGTTTACTCAAGTTGTAGAATATTAGCACATATCTATGGTTATCGGGTGAATCTAATTAAAACTCATAACTCAAAAGAACTAGTAACTTATATTTCGCTTATAACAGTTAAGCACTCAGATCGCCATTACCAATATGCAAAACAAATGCTGATTTTCAAAGCTGTAATGTGCAATACTTAACTGAGCGTGATTTGTCAAGTATTTATACTTGTTCTTTTTTAATTTATGCAGATTTTTAACAAAAATAATATGAATTTTTAATACTCACAACGAGAAATATACTGTCTGACAAAAAAGGATTTAAGTATGCAACAATAAAAGAGTCTATGATTGGATCTCTATTGAAATAATTCATCATTTTTATGGGTAAAGCCCATTTCAGCTATTAAGTAACAAATGTAAGTGTTAACTGTGACATAGTAACTCACAAATATGTGTTTGTCAGAATTTATTACATTTAAAATCTCGATAAACACGATCCCTGGCTGCAATCCAGTAGTAGACTTTTAAGTGTTTGCTTCTTTAAATCCAAAATACTTTTCTATTGGCCATGCAGTGCATGTAACTACTACAATACATTATTGTATTGTGCTAGCAAAATCATCGAGGATGAACATTATCACCGAATTAAAATCAAAGCTAAAAACATGCAGACTTCAAAATGTTGTGATGATTTAATGATTTAAATAAGGCTTCATTTTCTTTGCGCAAAATGTAATGTTCCTTGTTCCGATTTTGGTGTGTACCACAACATTCAATCGCAGATTCACCCTATTACCATGTCTGTCTCTTGTAGACAAACCCCTTCTGATGGCTGGAAAGTCTCTGCCAAAATCCATGCTCTGCCCCACCTGCTGTGTGACAGTCTGTTCGTCTCCACTTTTTGTTCTGCCATCTTTGGTGCATCCCATAGTACTATAAAATCCCTTATCAAAGATGCCAAACGGATTCCTTAATCAATTCTAATCGCATGTTTAGCTGTTTACACCCTCAGATACTTGCATATGCTAAAGGAGAAATCTTAAAGCCCTTTCAAGAAGAAAGACTTAAATTTCCAGCTTCTTTCCAATTAGTTTGCTGCATTGAGCACCATGTGTGCCCCCCTGCACAGACATGTCAAGTGCACTGCTTTTGTGCCAATGACTCTCAGACAGGTCACCCTGTGCCAATCACTAGAGATCTCAGACTGCGCAGCCAGGCCAAGGTCACAAGCCAGATGGATTTAAATTGCAATATCGCAAAATGAGCCCACCCAACCAACTAATGTAAACCCAGTCAAGCAAGCTTTGTTTTGAAACATCTCGGTTATCGCTACCGTTCATTAGGGAAGTGCTGCAGTTGGGCAAGCTGACAGTAGGGTGGTTTTCAGCAGATGTTTTTATTACTGCATCAGTGGACGCTAATAGAGTTCCAGTCCTCGCCAACCAAAAGCTCTATTAGATTATAGACGTAATATATTATTGATAATTTGTCCATGAAATGTGTGTTAGACAGATGATACACAGAGGCCTGCAATCCATTAGGCTTGTGTCGGAGTTTCTTTTGCCCGTTTTGACTTGGCTTATTGAGTTTGGACTATTTAAGATGTTTCTATATGTTTGTTGTGTTCGTGTTTAGAGTGTGAACAGGTTTAAATCACTGACTGTGTCCTTATTTTCAAGAAGTCGGCAGACTCTAAAATGCAAGGGCGTAGACGACCGTGTGACATTATACTCGTTTGGACAGTGAGCTGAAAGCGGAGGCTCTCGTGTAGACCTTACAGTTAATGACAAAAAAAAAGAGAAAGAAATTGATTATTTTCAGACTGGGTACTTAGAAAAGGCCCTCATCAGCCAAAGCTTCATTTTACAAGACATTACCGCCCCTCATGGGCCTTTTACATGCACATATGAATGTGACATTTAAGACAGAGAGAATGTCACGAGAGGTTTTGGATGCCTGACTCACCATTTCTCTCGAACGAAACTACAACCTTTCTCAACATATCAAGGAAGTGAAAGCCTCCCAATGCCATCCACTGTTGATGTACAAAAACAGACGAAAAAAAATAAGAGAGTTTATCGTCACTTATCTCAAAGACCCTACTTTTAACTGTTGTCTCTTTTGGGATAGAGGTGTTGTTTCTGCAGCAAAACCCCAAGTGAGAGCCATAAAGATTTTCCTATGTGATAACCAGACTTTAAAAAAGTTAATAAATCAACTTTTTTTGCTGATCAGCACACGCTATCTAGCCCAAACACAAGTGAAATATCATACAACGGTGGTGTGAAAGTACACAAAACTAGAGCAAGATGATATTATACTGTGTTCTAACTGAAATATCTGTATTGTAAACATCTCTGTATAATGTTCATGTGTTTTAAGATTGTTTTAAGAAATACTGGGGCAGAAATGTGTGGATTTCTTTAGGATGATCTCTAATGATGTTTATTGATGTGTTGGATTGTGTTTTGTAATTAAGTTCCATTGCCCAGCCAAGGTTGTAGAAGCTCTCTCTTTCTCTCTCTCTCTCTCTTTCTCTCTCTATCTCTCATATAAAGAATTATGCCTTCTCCAACTGAAATCCAGCTGGAATTAACGAAATACTTGATAAAGAAAAAATGATGTGCCTCGTCGGGGGCTTTAGCATTTTAAGAACTCACTTTTTAAGAAGTGTGCATACCTGCATTAAGTAGTTAGCTAGAATAATCTATGTGTATGTATTACAAATGCATCATCGTCATCCTAGTTTTTATCAAGCGACATTAATGACCTTTGTAACGGTACTTGTTTTAACTATATTCTCACCACTTCAGCCATGTTACAGTCTGTCTGACACAGCTGTCAACGGTAGTTTCAATTTGAACATTAGCGTTACTTGGTTACTTACCTTTCATCGTAAAGTCTGTCATCGCATGAAATTAAAATAATCTGAATAATCTACATCATAGTTTGTGCAGTTAGTGGTTTAAGATTTAAAAAAAAAACGTAATCTATATATCTATATATCAATATACACATTTGTATGTATTACAATGATAGATTCATTGTTACCTATGATAGTAAGTTCTTGTTGCTATGGCAACAAAACTACAACATGGCTACCTTTGTATATCTTAATTGTGAATTTTTTCACACTTCAAGTGAAATAATGTACAACGTTAACTTATTCAGAAAGGGAATGTGTTCCTAAGTTGTCTTGGAAAAAGAGATGATTGACTATTTTGTAAAAAAAAGAAAAAAAAAGATATATATACACGTATATATATATATAAATATATAAAGACTTGTGAGATACTTTATGTCCAAAGGCCCTTTGGAGATATCATACGTTATTTCAGTTTTAATAATTATTATTTTTCTATTGGGGTTGCTGATCACTTTTAGATGAGAACCAGATATTTACGTACGCAGCATCCGAGCTTTTGAACCAATCTGATGGCTCAATTTAGAGGAACGAGACATTCTAGTCTCATGTTTGGTTCAGAAAGGGCTGGCGAAGCATTCACAATGGTGCGTTCCAAAAATGAAAGGAAAAAAAGGGTTTTTATAAATAACGCAGCCCTGTGATGTCAGAAACGGGACGGTTATCAGCCATAGTGAGCCCCTGATTTAAGTCTGTGTTCCCCTCTGGCCCACCCAGACTGCACCCCAGCTGTGCTGGGACCTGGTGACTCTCGTCACCCCATTGGTGTACGAATGTGTGTTATTCACCTTGTTTGCACTTATGTACATAACTGAGTCAAAATATTCAGAATTTATTTTGAATATACATAGATGAGTAAATATATATGTAGAAGAGCAGAATCAAATCAAATGTCTGTATTGTTCGGAATACAGGTAAACAGCTATTCTTTTAAAGGCTCGTCGTCAAAGAGGTAGATGCTGTTTTGCCCGGGTGTCAAGGAATTTGTCGTCTGTTCTGTTTGCTCTCATCGTATGGCATGATATTGCATTTTGCGGAGATAATGATGTCAAATCAGACTTTGCAGTCTTGCATAGCTTACAAAAGCGCGTGGAGCTGAGCTGAGCTGAGCACTGCACCTGCTCACATCTGATCCTGAGGTGTGATTGTGTCCAGAAACCAAAGAATGGCCAACTTGTTTCTCTTTTACCTCGACATCGTGTGAGTTTCAGGCTCACGGTTTTGTTTTCTGTGTAATTCCATTGGGTGCGGTGAAAAACACGGCTTTGCTCCCTTACAGGAAGATCAGGAGGGCACCTCAGGATCAGACCACAGCTGGGAAGCTGCTTAGTGAAAATGCCCAATTTCAGTTTTCCGTTTGGTTTGGTTTGGTTGTTGACGGACGTTTTCCATTCTTGTGCATTCACCAAGAACAACAAATAACGCAGAAAAATCTCACAGGATATCCTCAATCCAAATTGCTTCAAAATCCCACGTGAAATCACCAGAATAAAAACAACCCTCTGTTGAAGAAAACTTGTACATTCTGTGCTCTACAGTTGCTTTGGAAGCCAATAATTTTGTTGCCATGGCACTTGCCCTAATAGTGAGGGAGAGACTGAGTCTGTTGTAGGTTCTTGCATATAGACGCACCTTTGGACCAATCGAATATGGTCCTCAGCCTTTTGACTGTAAAGCTGAGGTAGCACTTAGGACCTAGCATAGACTAAGGGTCCCAAAGACACGGGACGCTCCTTGTACCACTGTGCTTGACAGAGAATATCGACTAACACTCTTCTGCTGTCCATTATCCTGTGCCTAAACATTGGGTGTGATGTGAAAGGACTGGTCCTGTAAAGAAAGCCATTGAGGTTAGCCTAGTTCCACCTAACTGTGCCCTGCATTCAGTCACGCTGTCGTCATACAGTACCTGTGACCGGAACACTAACGTCAATGGTTCGTGTTAACGTAGAAAAATCACCGAGACCGGAGCATCACATTAATGTTGTACAAAGCTGTATAGTTTCAAACGAAATCGCTCGTTGATGCGGAGGTTACGTCCCTTTAAAGGCATCCATCGGCTGACGTTCGGTGGCCAGCGCTGATGCCTGTGTAAATGCTATTGTGTGTGTGAAACCGTTCAAAGAATGTCTACATTGTTTCAAAGCCATATGTAATAGATTCCTCTCTCTCCCACTGTAGGACAAGATAAAACTGAATGCTTTGACTCTTTATATGAAATGCTTCTCTTTCTATTTAGCTTCTCGTGCTTGTATGTGCTTCAAGAACTGTGCTTCTTGTCAATCCCTTTGCGATATATAAATGTATTGAATATATACATACTTTAGACTTCTGTTCTTTTTGGTTGACATTTTAATAAAGCACTTAAAAGGCATTGTTGGGCTGTGTTTGCTGTGTGTGCTCTTTCTCTACAGAGACGACAACAAAACAAATAATTGGATTTAAGAATTAGCACGTCCTAAGTTAATTCGCTTACCTGTACAAAACTATTCAAAACACTGTACGGTAAGATAAGACCATTAGTTTTGACTTTTGACTGCTCACAAGGACACCCAAGGTGAGTCCATGACACTTCATCATACAGTTGTTTTAAAGGGATAATTTGCATACAATTTAAAATGTGCTGTTAATCAGCTCAGGTCTTCAAGATGAACCTGTGTTTTTCAGTTGAACCCATGAGGTTTTTAGCTGAAGGCAGAGGCTGTGAATTAAAAGCAGTGTTGTTGAAAATACTGTTCCGTTTGGTGCACAAACCAGTCATTTCCAGTCACAAGACTCCAGTGTGACAGAGTCTAGAATATTAATTTAGTTTTGCCTTTCTGACTCTCAGATTGCTGATCGCTGTTGACTTGCAAATTCTGAATCAACAAAGACCAGCATTTCAGTAGATTTATTTTAATGTTCTGCTGAAGTAAAGTAACAGAAATTTTAATTCTTGGGTAAACTCATTCATTTCCTTCAGCTTAGTCCCTTTATTCATCAGGGGTTGCCACAGCCGAATGAACAGCCAACTTGTGTTTTACACAGCGGATGCCCTTCCCGCTGCAACCCAGTACTGGGAAACATCCATACCCAGCAAGCACACAACATAAGACAATAATATTACGTTAGATTTAGGTTATGAAGTCAGGTGACCAAAATTCAATGTCTAGCCAGCGTCTACGGCCAACGTTATTTTGACGTCTAATAACGAGGTCGAATTACGTTGATATTTGGTTGATTTTAGGTTGTGTTGGAAAGTGACCAAAATCCAATGTCTGATAGAGGTGATAGTTTCTAACGTCCACACAGAGTCAAAGTGTAACATGATTAGACTTTGACATTTAGTTGATTTTAGGTTGGACGTTGGACATTGATGTCGGCCTGACGTTGGGTTTTGTTGTCAACCCGATTTTCATTTCCAAACAAAATCCAAAGTCCCCACGACATTAGAGTATGTTGGGGTCGATATATATACTTTGGGGGCAAACATGGGGAGAACAAGCAAACTCCACACAGAAATGCCAACTAACCAAACTGGAACTCGAACCAGTGAACCTCTTGCTGTAAGCCGAGCTGACAGTGCTAACCACTGAGCCACCGCATCGCCCTCTTGGGTAAACTATTCCCTTAAATTGCCTGCTTTTGACCTCTCTCCAAGTTTAAAACGCATTAGGCACAATCAAAGTACTTGATTTGCTCATTGATTTATGCATAACAAAATCTTAAATTATTTTACTGTCAATGATCTCTGTGTCTGATACATTGACTGTTTCACCCTTTTATTGCCTGCTCTACCAAATAGTTGACCATATTTTAACTGTTTTGAATAGTAGTTTACATGCAGCATTGTTGGTTTTAAAAAATCATTTAAACATCTTGTTGCACTGCACTTGATTTTGGATCAATTGTAAAATAATCATGAGAGCGTGTTAAATGAGAATTTAACCTACTTAATGGCATACTTAAAAATATAAAGATTTATAGATTTAGTATTCAAACATGTTTTATTTTGAATATAGTTTTAAAACAAATTGGTCTTACACTTTATATTTTGGGATTTTTCATAGAAGGCTAAATGTACTCATTCTGGTAAGTTTACCATAAACCGACATATCTACTATTTGGTATATTTTAGAATATTTTATATTTGGAGGTTGATATTTTAGAAATTAGGGGATGTGTTAAAAAAATAGTGTTAACTAGCGTCATTAGAAGTTAAAGGGATAAAATGGTAAAAAAAAATAAAATACTATTAAATAACAAAAACTTCTTGTTACAAATAATAATAATTAATATTTATTGAGTTATAAACAAATGAGGTTTCAGTTAGGGTGGTGACACGCCGTTTTAAAAGTTTTTTTTCCAAATCACGCCCAGTCTGAACTTTCAAAGACACTGTGAAAGTAGTTCGGCCTATTTCATAACTTGTTTTAATTTGTTGATTCTGCTTAGAATGGATGTGCATCTGCCGTTACAAAAACATCACAAATTCTTTCAGCTCATAGTTTTTTTCTTTTACATTTTTGTGATAGCACTGTGATTTCTGGCGGATGTTTATTGGAGAGAATGAGGCGCGTCCTCAACGGGTCCGCCTCATTTCCGCGAATCGGTTCTTTTGAACTGTTCGTTTTAAAGAGTCGGTTTTGCATTCCCTTGCGTCATAGCGTAATTGCGTCACAGCGTCGTCTCCTGCTGACGTGCTGTACATTTTTTATATATATACTTTATTTTGTATTAACAATGCTTGAACACTAGCAGAAAGGCATTAATTCTTTTTAAATTTACACAAAGACTTAGATAATAATCAATTCACGCTTTCCATCCTCATTAATAATACAACATATATAAATAAATAAAAAACAAAAAAACAATGCTAAAGAAAACTAAGTAGGGGAGTTAAAGTTCTCAAAATATTAAACCAAAATCTTGTAATGATGAATATACATATCTTGCTTTTTGTCTTTTAATCTCTCATAATGTCTTCAAATATATCACAAATACTTCTTTAAACACCACATCTTGGAACGTGCTGTACATGTTCTGAAAACGTTTTTTTTTTTTTTCAATAAGGATATTTATGTGTGTTATTTTAGATTAGTTTCAGTCATTATTAAGTGTAAAAATCAAACTTATTTATTAAAAAAAACATCTATGGAAAAAGACCACTTGAAAATGTCTGTTTTAAGCTGTATTTATCTGTGGGTTGTGAAGTTCATTTTTGTTTTAATCTGTAAAGGTAACTGATATTGATAACAATTGTCATTTACCATGTTCTTAGAAATATTGCAGTAAAAATGTTTAATGTTTACCAATAAATAACTCTGTTATTCTGCCATATACTCACTTTGTTTTACTTTTCCAAGGTATAAACACTGTTTAAAAATAAATACAAGCACAGAGGGTCTGTGTAACCTTTCAGTTAAATCATGCAAAAATGACAAATTTGTCATTTTAAATTGGGAAAATGTTGACAGAATAAAACAAAAGTTACGGTTTTTATTATTTATTTAACACTTTTTATTTTTACATGTTACAAACACATCAAACTCCCCTTGTAGAAATAATAATAAATAAATAAATGAAAATAATAATAAAATAAAACCAAATTATGTCTACATTTATGCAACACTCTCAGTGTTAAAAACAAAAGTGATGTATTATTGTCCAGAGCTAGCAAGGGTGATCAGTTTAGCTCTAGCTGGACAGTTTTAATAGCAGAAAAAAAGGGACTTCCAAATTTGTTCTGTTGTCTTTGATGGGAGTCTCTTCTCTAGTTTCAAGAATTTCGTTTTTCTCAAACATAATTATTAATCATAAATCCAGGGAAGTGATTTTTAGGTGGTGTTTTAATTGCTAGCTTTAATCTGATTTTTATGTTTTAAAATAATCTATTTACCAATTTATATAGCAGCCTGTTGACAAAATTGTTATACAATAAAGTATTCTACTATTATTATTCATGATTTTTTTTTTTTTTATGGTTTTAATTTTTGTGTGTGTGTTTGAATTGAGCATGTCCGAAACAGAAGGTTCAAAAATGACTCGAGAACTACCGATTCAACTGATTCTCAAAAAAGAATCGACTCAGAGGAGCCGTTGACGCCAGTGTGCGAGAGCTCCGCTGCGGGGCCGCTGCTTCTGCTTCTGTCTGGGGCCGATATGCAGAGGCGGGCCGGGGGAAAGACACACCAGAAGGGAAGGCGATGCAGGATTCCGAGACAGAGTGTATGAGTTGATCATCTAAGAGAGAGAAAACCCGGTGACTAACGTACATCCGTCGCATATTAAAGCAGGAAAGGGCCGTTTGTGTGCGAGTTCAGCCTCGCTCTCCTCCTGAAGCACTAGCCAGCTAAAGCTAGTCATGTAGCGCTCCATTCACACGGACGCCAAACATGGACACGACTACACACAATACTTGTGTTTTATACCGCCTGTGTGGCTAACAAACTCTTTGACGAACGGATCCCGATGGAGATAGAGTGCAGATGGAGGGGCGTTGTGGATTTAGCTAGATATTCACCCAGAAAAAGCAGTATCCTCTGTTGAATCTCTGCTTTGATTTCCTCGAACCCGTGAAAAGTGCTCCTCTGGTGTTGTTTTGATCATTAAAGGCCTCGATAAGACGTGCTGTGGTATTTTTATGTTTTTATGGCCGGTGTTGAGCAGATAAAGTTAGCTGTAGCTTAAGCGTGGATCAGACCAAATGAAGGAGTACAAGGTGGTTGTGCTGGGCAGCGGCGGCGTGGGCAAGTCCGCACTCACGGTCCAGTTTGTGACCGGGACATTCATCGAGAAATACGACCCGACCATCGAGGACTTCTATAGGAAGGAGATTGAGGTGGATTCGTCCCCCTCCGTGCTGGAGATACTGGACACCGCCGGGACCGAGCAGTTTGCATCCATGCGAGATCTGTACATTAAAAACGGGCAAGGCTTCATTTTAGTCTACAGCCTTGTCAATCAGCAGTCATTTCAGGTGAGTAACACTGTGTTAGTACAGCTAATGGGCCCTTGAGGTTTAGATTAGGCCATTATTATACATTTTATTGCCGTAATAGCACAGTTGGGGCTAGATGATAGCTCTAGCAAGAGAACTTCTGTGATTCAGAGTTCACCAAACACTTGAGATGTAAGTTACTGTAGCTGACATCAAATCATAAATTGTGCATTTCAAAGTAGTTCAGGGCTTATATGCAACAGGTTACAGATGCACTATTCTCAACCTTGGTGATCTCACACACCACTCTTTATAGTTTTGTGTGTTTTCTCATTAATTATTCAACTTTTCTATCTTACAAAGCAGGTACGTTGTTCACATGAGGGGCATAAATAATTTATTTGAGGGGAGAAAAGAGCCAAGCAAAACATTGGATGGGATCCTGATACAAATATGTTTTCCACTATTAACCAGACAGTTTGAAGGCAGAGATGCTCAATTTGTTTGTACAACTAGTAAAGTAGCATTAAATGAAAGGAAAGAAAAAATGTCTTCCAGTGAAAATTACAAACCGCTCAAGTCACCAGTGGCATTTTCAATTATAAAAATGAAAACCTTTTCAGCATTTTGTCCTCTCATTTACATAACAACTGCATTGACACTTAAAATGCTCGATTTAAACTTGGCAAATATGTTTTAAAGTGCAGCTTTTTGGTTGTTGTTTTTTTTAAATGTCCATATTTGGTGTAAACTACAAAATCGCACACATTTCACACATTCAACAGTAACTAAAACAACAATGGTGGACTACAGGACTGACAGATGTAGTTTGTGTTCTTTGCAAAGTGACAGCCATTTACTGGCCTCGCATGAACAATGCAGTGCTTTTGTCATTTATACAGATCTGTGGTAACCACAGGTGTTCCTGGAAGGCTGTGGCTTTGCACAGTTTTGCTTTTATGTAATGTAGTGTAGTGTGTATTTATATTGCGCATATATCGTGCATGGCCATACACCCAAAGTGCTTCACAATCTTGAAGGGGGTCTGTCCATACCAACACCAGTGAGCAGCATCCACTTGGATGATACGACGGCAGCCACAGGACAACTGTGCCAGTGTGCTCAACATACCCCAGCCAAAGGTGGGGTAGAGAGATGGTAATAGAGCCCATTTGGTGGATGGGGATGATTGGGAGGCCATGATGGGCAAGGGCCGATGGTGGGAATTTGGCTCGGACACAGGGGTTATACCCCTACTCTTTATGAGAAGTGCTATGAGATTTTTAATGACCACAGAGAGTCAGGACCACGGTTTACTCACTGACAGTATAGTGTCCCCTTCACTTTACTGGGGCGTTACGCTTCACACAGACTGTAGGTTGAGTTCCCCTGTTAGTCGCACTAACACCACTTCCAAAAGCAACCTATTTTTCCCATGTGGTCTCCCGTCCAGGCTCAGCCCTGCTGAAGTTCAGTAAGTAGCCAATCTTGGGCTGCAGGGTGATTATGGCTGTGCTGTAATTATGCACACCTTATCAAACTAATTAAGTAATTCAGGCTAGTTTGAAACCTACTGGAAGGTGTGTTGGAACTACACTCTGCTTGGCTGTGGCCCTTCAGGAACTTAGTTTGACACCCCTTGTGTAAAAGGATAGTTTTGACAATTGTGCCATATGTATGCAAAACTTTTCAAAAACATTTTTTTCACAGTCCCATACAAATACCCATAGACTGTTTACAACACTTCTGCAAGCTTCAATCCATATTTCTTCATTTTATTATTTTATTGCGAAATCTGCTCAGCAGTTGACACACTGAGGTGAAACAAGTCCATGCTAGTTTTAGGAATTTCAGTTCTTGCAGCTGTGGACAAATAAATATAACTAGACTAAATCATACAAATAAAAAGCTGCCAAAACATCCCTAACAGAAAGAATAAAGGAGTGCAAAATCCCACCTTCAGCTTTAAAGCCACTTATAAAAGCCCATATTCTTAACAAATGGCAAGCAGAAAGGGATCAGTGCTCAAAAAAAATAAATGTTTTGAAATCCAGTCTGAAATAAGATTTTTTTTTTTTTTTTTTTTTTAACTCAAGGCATGATGAGATTGCTTACAGAAGATGCTGAATCGGACACACAAGACTCACACTTGGACATTTAGTCAGAATAACCCCCAAAATGTCAATATTGCGACAGAAACCAAACATATTCTTGTGGAATGCCCTATTTTTAATGTTATCAGATGACCATTTTTATCTGGAGAGACTTGAAATAAAATCATTTTAAATGTGAATCCTTGTAAAGTTGTAAAATTATCAATGTTTTTGATTTTTATCTTGTATATTATTATTATTTATGTATTTTAATCTTGTGTATTTGTTGTTGTTGATGACATTTAATAATTAGAATATTTTTATATAGAAAAGTGATGTTTATAAAATGTGGAAAATTTGATCTTTTTTTTTTTTTTGCCATGACATTTGCCATTTTTAGCCATAGAAGCTGATACGGCAATAAATGTCTCTCTCTTATAAAAATAAAATTAATTTCAAAATTATATAATAATACGAGGTCCAGTAAATGAGACTAATCATTTAGATTTACTCAAAATTTGTTTAGCCATTTATAGCACCATAAACCAAATAACCACCATTGTACATTCTGTATCTTATTATTATAACCTTTATGTAAAAAATATCCAAGACTAATACATACTTGTATCTAAAACTAAATATATATTTTTTAAAATCATACTTAATGTTGTGCCAGATAACTAATAAAATCTAAAATTAAGCATTTAAAATTTCTTATTGTACCCATTATTTGGACAAAAATCATCACCTGAATGATGGCTAACACCTATCAAATCAGCTAGTCAGTATAAGAAATGTACATGGTTAACAAGAGGAGGGGCAAAAGTTATCATGTAAAATATCAAAACAAACAGTGAGCTGCTGATCTCAGACAGGGGCCAACTTAAATACTTTTCAACACCTCTCTAGTTCCTGACCTACATATATCCTTTTTAATACGTTACACTCAGATGCACAGCAAATAGCAGAAAATCTGTTGCTTCTTTAATTTACATTCATTTCACTGTGACTCTAACATCCAGTTTCACAGAAAAGGCTAAAGTCTAAACCCAGACTAAATTGCTGGTCTGAGCTGTTTCAACTAAAATAAACTTGAACTGAGAGATTTTACAACATTTTAGTGCCATTGTTTTATCTTAGGATGACTCCAGTAGTGTTTTGTTTCAAAGGCAGATATATAAAACAAATCTTGAATGTTCGTCTTGATCTATGGCCTAATCCTGGCTTAGTCTAAGCCCTGTCTGTGAAACCAGACCTAAGGGTGTTAAATAGCTGTACATTGACTTTTCATTTAGATATTTAGTTATCTTTATATAAATATAAAAACATATATTTTTGATAAGTCATGAACACACTCTTATCTCTGTGCGTCTGTAGGACATCAGACCAATGCGGGACCAGATTGTTCGCGTGAAACGCTTCGAGAAGGTGCCTCTGATCTTGGTGGGGAATAAAGTGGACCTGGAGTCTGAGCGGGAGGTTGCTGGTTCTGATGGTCGGGCTCTTGCACAGGAGTGGGGCTGCCCCTTCATAGAGACCTCGGCCAAGAGCAAGAGCATGGTGGATGAGCTGTTTGCTGAGATTGTAAGGCAGATGAACTACACCACTTTGCCCGAGAAGCAAGAGCAGTGCTGCACCGCCTGCGTCGTGCAGTGAGCATCCCGGCCTTACTTTCACTCCAGGTACCAGAGTTCAAAAGCAAATCAATCACGCTTTTTAGACTACTCACATTTCAGTCCTAAGACAAGAATGGGTGTTTTCAATAGTTTTAGGACAACTTTGATGAAAGATTTTGGTCTACTTTAAATGTTGAAAAGGTTGTTTTTACATGACGTCATTGATGACTCTCAACATTCAGATGGAGGGCAGGAAGTGATTCTTCTTCACAGGAATTGCTATCAGAACATCAAAATGTTTCTGTTGTATGTTGCTTATAATCGTTTAAATTGGCCAAAATAAGAAGTGTCGAATTGCTTTTATGGACTTCCAAAGTTTTTGGGAAAAGGGGAAGTTTAAGAATCTGGCTGAAAAAAAGAAGAAAAGGCAGTATTTTTTTTAATACATCCATGAGTACAAGCTTTTTTGAACATGATAATTCTTTTGACAGCACCAATAAAGATTATATACAGGGCTAGCTCTGTGTATAAATATGTTAACGTGTTGTATAAAAATCAAATACAAACACCACCACGCTTATACAAAATCCAGGAGAATATAAATAACGCACCCTGATATGTAATCGCTGCAATGAAATCTGTCTTGTTTTGCAATAATCCAAGTCTATACTGGCGTTTTGATGGAATAAACGACCGTAGTGTGAATATTGATGCGCAGCAGTGGTGAATGCTTGTTGATGGTAAGTTCATTGACAGAACATCGTCAGTACAGAACTAGACAGTTGTTATTGTGAAGGACTTCTTCCACCTTACAAAACTAAATAAATAATAATGTAGACTATGTGTCCATGCTTTTGTATGCTTTAATCTGTTATTTTGTGATACCTGGAAGATATCCGCATGGGGAAAACTATAGTAATTTATAATAAACTTGTTTTTGAAGCACATAATATAGTGTATAATGTGTACAACTCTTTGTTAATGAATGCTACCAAATACTGTAGTATGGTAACGTTAGTGTAAAGTCTGCTGCATTATGATGGTGTGTAAATATAGCGTTGAAAACTGAAGCCTATTCAATAATTTGTTTATCACTACAGTAGTGTTGTACAACTGCAACAATATAATTACTATGACAGTTTAATTTAAGTAAGTATCTATAGTATGCTTCCAAACACTAAAGTATTTACTATAGTATTTTTTCATGAAACGTAATAGTTTATACAGTATACACCGCCTTGATAGGCAAATATATTTGAGTTCAGTAGAAAACTCGGCCCTCGTCATGATATAAGAATCATGCCCAACATATGTGGTTATTTTCTATTTATATCCTCTTTAAATATGAGATAAATCACAAAGATACGGATTTTCCTCAATGTGTCCCACTCAGTTTTTTACTTCCTGTCCTCCATCTGAATTTTGCGCATGTTCAGCACCGCATGATTAAAAACAACCTATACTAATATTATTGTGATTTTTACTATTATCATTATTTAGAAAGAAAGCATTTGTTACTTTGAGCAATTTTAATTTTCTCTAGAATGATTTTAAAAGATTTGTTAAAAATTTTTTTGGCAAAACTCGTGTAGTAAATCCATTCAGAGAATCTGAGAAATTTCCTCTTTAATTCTTTTCATAGTCGTGTAAAATATCTGGAAAAACAATTATATTTAAAAATCATTATTTATATTTAAATCATGAGGACAGCAGTTCTACATTGACTCTAATTTTGTTACTGGAAGTCACCAAGAATGCTGAGTGTGTGAAGAATAAAACGGCTTCATCTTGCTGAGATTATTGCGATTAAGCGTGAAGAGCTGGTCTTTCTGAAGAAGCATGAGAACAGGGACAATCCTTGTAAAGTAAAAGGAAAACCGAACATCCTGCATGGAAAGTGGTGTCACAAAACAGGAAATGGCTTTCCGGGGAATTTTAGGATAACCCAGATGTGCCGTTTCACTGGTGTCTTTACGTAAACAATTTTATTTCCTGTCTCTTTCAGATGTTGTGCCAACTGAAAATGATCTTACTTGAAACGCCAAAGTCATCTACAGTTGAAGTCAGAATTATAAGACCCCCTTTAAAAAAATTCTCTTTCAAATATTTCTAAAATGATGTTTAACAGAGCAAGGAAATTTTCACAGTATTTCCTATAATATTTTTTCCTAAGAAAGTCTTATTTGTTTTATTTCAGCTAGAATAAAAGCAGTTTAAATTTTTTTTTAAACTACATCGTAAGGTCCATATTATTGGCCCCTTTAAGCAAATATTTTTTCGATAGTCTACAGAACAAACCATCGTTATACAATGATTTCTCTATTCTAACCTGCCTAATTAACCTAGTAAAGCCTTTAAATGTCACTTTAAGCTGTATAGAAGTGTCTTGAAAAATATCTAGTAAAATATTATTTACCTTCATCATGGAAAAGATACAATAAATCAGTTATTAGAAATGAGTTATTAAAACTATTATGTTAAGAAATGTGTTGGAAAAAAATCTTCTCTCAGTTAAACAAAAATTGGGGGAAAAAATAAACAGGGGTGCTAATAATTCTGACTTCCATTGTATATATAGTAAATGCCTAGTATCCACGATTTGCTCCTTTCTATCTTTCGTAGACACAAGATCCAGACGGCCACTCTCTTGACCCAGTTTCTGACCGTTTGACCCTCTGAGCCACACCTGTGCCACTGAGCCCCTTCAACTCTGACACTAAAGACATCTGGCCGAGGCTCGGCTTTGATGGCCGGACAAATCAGTCATCGCAGGGTCTTCAAAACTCAAATCCACCAGGGGTCTGGATTGTAGAGCACATATACTATATCTTCAAGTTATGTTTTGGTTACCTGGAAACAAGTCAAGTCTGCGAATTGGAGCACAGAAAACTTTTGGGAATGGGGATATCTGTGACAGGGCTATTAATAGCTATTTTTCTTAAATAGGGAAAAGGGTTATGACGAGCAGGTCAGCTCAGGGCTGTAATACCCCTGGAGATGCTCCGTTGCGAAAATGTTCCCTGTTATTTCTTTTAACATATTAAGTTTGATATCTAATTATTAAGCTGTAACAGCCATTATGCAGGTTGGTGACCTCAGTATCTAACATTTCTTTCTTTTTTCTTTTCTTTTTTTTTCTCCTCCCCTTTTTGATTTTTTTAACCACTGGTATGTATGCTTTCTCTCCTAATACTCTATTTATTAAAGTCTTTAATTACCAAGATAGGGAATTATTGCATTTTTATATTCTGTTGGCTGTTTTGGCTTTTTGTGACTACAGTATGCATTGTTTCTGAAGTACAGCATTGATGATGCCTTAAATGATTACAGTCTGAAACCCATGTTGTCAGTCTTTTTTTGTTATCTTGCAATGTTTTTTGAGAACAGTTTGTGCCCTGCGAGATATATATTATCTATTTAGCACACATTTCCAGAGCTGCTTCTGTCAAACTCATAATGGTTATAGTCTATCGATCGCTGTCATGTGAATGTAACTCTTAGCTCCTAATAGTCTTAAGCACATACATGTGTAAATGCCAAAGCTGGTCATCAATGACATTTTTGAGACATTTAAACTGAGACAACTAAGAACTCAAAATTGATGCATGCAGTAACTCACAATAGGCTTTTGATTATGACCTTTAAGTTGCCTGGAAATCCGCCATTATCAGACCCCAACAATCTGTCTTATTGTGGCAGAAATGAAATGTGAGGATCTCGTGATGAGCCTGAAGAAGGAGACTGTTTGCGTGTGGGTCTTTTCCAACTGCAACACATTTTGTGTTTGTCATGGACTAAATATTTAAGCCTAATGCAATCAGTTGTCATACATACTTGATATGGCTAAGAGAGGAATTTTTCAGTTAAATAATTAGATACAAAGACAATAACACAAACCACTAGGATTAGTCATGTAGCAGTCTATTAAGATTGCAGACGACTATAATATCTACCCAAACAGTTGCAACTTGGTGTGTGGAGATGGAAAAACCTGCAGGAATGCTGACCATCTGCAGGGCTTGGTCAGGTTTCTGACAGGGATTTGACAGAAGCACTTTTAAGTCATAGGCCTGTGTCTGTATCATGTGTCTGCCTTTAGGAGTCCTTTCTACATGTCTTTTGATGACCCTGTCAGAGTTCACCATGCAGGCTGCCATAAATTTAGAGAATATATTACAGTTTCTTTTACAATTGCTTTGCTACAAATTTTAGAATCTTGTCGTTTTTCAAAACCAAACAGTCTCTACTTTGTGTTCAAAACTCTGCATGTTGCATTAATTTCTTTAAAGAAGTCTTGCATTAGCAGGATCATTGGTTCACATAATCCTTTTATCATATAAATACTACAGATACATTACTTTAGATCACCAGCACAAAACATGCACATCATTTCAATAATTCAATATTGCTGTTTAAAATATATGATGCAGGTTTCATTATGGTTTATACATAAAGGTAAAGGAAATAGGGTTATTCATTCAATCATATTGTAGGTTTACTGTAAAAAAGAAAATAGTAAAAGTTAACAAAAGTGTTTCTCACTTCATGTTCCCATATTATATGGCAACATCAAAATAAAAAACACTGTTTACATTCTTTCAATCATATGTGAGTATGTGTGTGTTCATATACAGCCATATATGGACACACAAAAATATAGGTAATATATTTGTAGGTAAAATCTCATCTAATTTCAGTCCCTTTATCTGGGGGCCTAATCACGGGGGCAGCAGTCTTAGAAGTCATTCCCAGGCCAGTCTAGAGACATAGTCCCTCCAGGGTGTCCTGGGTCTTCCACAAGGCCTCCTCCTGGTGGGACATGTCTAGAACACCTAGCGTCCAGGAGGCATCCAAAACAGATACCTGAGCCACCTCAGCTGACTTCTCTCAATGTGGAGAAGCAGCGGCTCTACTCCAAGCTCCTCCCTGGTGACAGAGCTCCTACCCCAATTTATAAGGGTCCACCCGCTTGTATCCGAGATCTTGTCCTTTCACTGATGACCCAAAGCTCATGACCATAGGTGAGAGAGAGTAGGAACGTAGGTTGACCAGTGAATTGAAAGCCTTGCCTTTCGGCTCAGCTCCTTTACCACAACAGACCGGTACATCGACCGCATTACAGCTGCGAGCTGCACCGATTACCCTGTCAATCTCGCATTCCGTCCTTTCCTCATTCGTGAACAAAATCCCAAAATACTTGAACTCCTCCACCTGGGGTAAGGACTTTCCTCCAGCCTAAGATTGCAAACCACCTTTTCCTGGTGGAGCACCGTGTCCTCGGACTTTGATGTGCTGATTTTCATCCCAGCCGTGTCACACTCGGCAGCAAACAGCCCCAGTGTATGCTAAAGGTCCATATTCGATGAAGCCAGTAGAACAACATCGTCTGCGAAAAACAGGAAATCCTGTGGTCCCCAAACTGGACCCCTCCAGCCCAAGGCTGTGCTTTGAAATTCTGCATTGTGGAACAAGTGGTGATCGAAGGTTTGGACCATGACAACCCAATCATCGGGCACAGAACCTGACTCTTGGGAAATGGAATGTAGGTCAAATATATAACATAATATTTAATATATTTACGTAGCATATTTTGAACTTTCTTGCATACAGTAATGTCAAGTATGTAAACATTGTAAAAAGTGGTACATGGACCAAAGAAACCATATATATGGAATAAGGATGAAATCTATAATGTAGTCCAGTTGGGTCATCTTCTGTGGTAACTGATGTCATTTGTTCTATCCTGAAACTTTGATCATCTAAACTTGTAATATTGTACATCAGTTTCCATAAAGCTATGCATCCAGAGTAATGCAACAGTTGTTAATTATTTTGAGCGCTTGTATCAGTGGATTGTTACATCACGTTAATTAAATGAATTTGCAGATATTTTAAATGTAATGTTTAAGTTTCATTTTGAAATGGGATCAATTTGATGTTAAGAGAAAAAACACCAAAAATGGTCCATACACCAATCAAGTATTACAACTGTTTATTGCTGGTACACACAGCTGATATTAATTATCGCAATAATAGTCAAGAAAAATAATACTCATGAGCATCATTAATCAAAGTTGCATAAAGATCGCATAAAAGACTTATAGTGCGAAATAAAGATGAGTCAATGACAACATGAATAAAAGATAATGAAAGAGAGCTTTCAGTGCAGTCACATTGGAAAACCAACAAGTGTGTCTGAGAATGCTGGGCGCTTGACTTATCCAAGTTTGAGGTTTGATTATTATTCCTTTATGATTATTTGTTCATTCATTTTTTTCGGCTTAGTCCCTTTATTATTCAGGGGTCGCCAAAGTGGTATGAACCACCATCCTATACTGCATATGGTTTACGCATCAGATGCCTTTCCAGCTGATACCCAAAACCAGAAAACACGTACACTCTTACATTCATACTAATACACTACAGCCAATTAAGCTTATTCAATTTATCCATAGCGCATGTCTTTGGAGGAAACCCATGCAAACACAGGGAGAACATGCAAACTCCACACAGAAATGCCAACTGACCCAGCCAGAGCTCGAACCATCGTTCTACCACTGTGCTGCCCTCAGCATGATTATTATAGTCTATATTCTCCCTCCTGAAATTTGGAGAAAGTTAACTTTATGAGACTCTTCTCTGGTCATTTGGTCATGCTTCAGGGTCAATATTTTACCTCCTGAAATTTAGAGAAAGGTTTAACCTTAACCTTAAGTTAACCTTAAGGTCATGAGACCCTTCTTTGGTCATTTGTTTGTTTGTTGAGCGAAACAGAAGAAAAACAAACAAACAAAACGTCTTACAGATACGTCAAATTTATAATTTATAAATACATTTCAATAATAATTTGAGAAACTTATTGTCATTTTCTACTGCAGGAAAATGACAATAACTACTAATAATCTACTGCAGGATAACAAATTGGTTTAACAAAGTTTTTTTAGTAATAATGTTGTAGCACATTGCTTAGGTATATTTTGTGCTTTGTAATATGTATATGCTTCTTTTTTCATGAATCAGAATATAATTTTAATGTTTTTATAAAGTGTAATGTAAGATGTGAATATGACATTTAATTAATTATTGTTCTTAAATTTCTGTATACATAGAAAAGTTCATTTTAGTCACAAATATATATTTGAAAAGACAAGCAAATGACTTTAAATATGCCTCCATGTTGTGTTAAAATCGGTTAAAATCATACACACGACTATCAGTTCCGGCTGGACTTTTATTTTGAAGAGTGACCTGTTAAGAGATTCTTCATGTTTATGTTTTCTTCACAGTTTCACTTTTCACGCTTGTTAAATTTAGTAAATCTAAATCTGTCACCCTGAAACTGTCGAAATGAAAACCGTTTTTGTGACCGTAGGGACAACAAGTTTTGATGACCTGATAGACACCGTGACTTCCGATGAATCCGTGAAGGTAACGTTTATAATATTCATTGTGAAAACTGCAAAGGAAAAACAGACTTGCACAAATACGTATCGAATTCAGAAATAAGCCGTGCTGTGTTAAATTAAATATGGGTTTATCCTGACTCGCTTTAACGAGTGGTTTCATGTTTCTGGATTAGGCATTAATTCAGCGCGGGTTCACAGGCGTGAATCTTCAGGTTGGCAGAGGTTCAGTTGTTCCTGATCCAGAAAGCTGTCCAGGACTTAAACTTCAAGTGTTTCGGTTCAAAGACTCAATCGCCGAGGACATGAGACACTCAGACCTGGTCATCAGTCACGCCGGTGGGTTAAACCTCACAGACAAAATTAAAATGCATTTAAAAATGGTGCAGGAAAATTAATAAAACACCATCAGATAAGTAGTTCATTAAATTTTTTCGAATGTGAATCCCAGAAATTTTAAATGCAATGTTTTACTGCAAAATGTGTTTATGAATGATTTAAAATTATTATAAAGTATGTGATATTGGACAAGAAAATGCTTACATATAGTGTCAATAGTCCAAAAATGTTATTTATGTTTAACATTAAAATGTAAATACATAAAGACACATGTGACCATTTAGCACAAAAATTTAAAAGGCACATATTATACCTCTTTTTCAAGAATTAAGATACGTTTTTTGTGTGTGTCTGTAAGGTTTCAGCTCAAAACACCCATCAGATTATTTATTATACCTTTAAGAATATTGGCAATTTCTGCTCTAAACACTGCAGCTGTTTTTGTTGCCTGTGTCTTTAATGCTAGTTCTCCCCCCCCCCCAAATGCCTGTCGGAGTGTACCTCAATCTCCGCCTCAACTGTGTCAGATAAATAGCACAGTGACAGACATGAAGAAAGCAGATCTCATGTAACGTTTGCAAGAAATATTAAGAGTAAGAATGATTATTTGATGTATTTGTTGTGGAGTTAATTCAAACCTTTCTTCGATGAGTCACACACAATATCATTTTAAGTTCATGCACACAAACACGCGCCCATTTAACTTTGCACTGTTTTTGCATGGCAAATGTGACAGGGTACACGTTAATATCCACTGCTGTATGGATATTCGTTATGTTACTGCACAAAATAAACCTGATTTATCGTCCATAAACCAGGATTGAAGTGTCTTCATTTATAATGGGCTCTATTCACAGCTACAGTTTTAAAGCCAATGATAAATGCATGATAAATTAAGCATTTATTTAGTTGTTTAAGCGTAAAACGATATGAAAGACTGTTGTAACCACTAGCGCCATTAGTAGCAACAAACTAGTGCAGAAATCCAGTTGAATGTACTGGGGTATCATAAACTGTCATATTTTAAAGACATGACAGGGGTAATAGGATTTAATGCAGTGCTTCTTGTCCGATCTGAAACCCACTTCATATCGTATATCTAACAGGCAATGAAAATTGCTGATTTTTAGGGAAATCAGATCTTAAACGTGACTATTTTGTAATGGAAAGACACCCTTGGGCTGCCTGGCTAAAACTCCTATGTCACGTTGCAGTAGACCTCAAAATGGTAGGGATTTGGATCCTATTTTAACGTCAGGATATTAAAAAAAAAGAGACTTATTGTGTTTCTATCACTCCAATATGACTGTGGACACACTATACCTGCACACAGTTCTGTCCAAACAGCTTCCAAAAGATGATTTTCATCATAGGTGCCCTTTAAGTTGTACTAGTATATTTTGACAATGGCTAAAAAAAACTTTTTAATTAATTTTTTTATGTCAAAGATCATTAAAATATTAAGTAAAGATCATGCTCAGTTAATATATATTTGTTTTTGTTTTTTTACTATAAATATATCAGAAGTTTGGTTTTGATAAGTAATATGTCTTGCTAAGCACATCGTTTAGACTATTTTAAAGGGATTTTCTCAGTATTTAGATTGTTCTGAACCCCCAGACTGCAGATTTTCACTACCCAAATATACCATTCTAGCAAACCATAAATCAGTGGAAATCATATTTATTTAGCTTTCATGAAATGTATACATCTCAAAGTTTGACACTTATGACTAGTTTTGTGGTCCAGTTTCACATATATCATTGATGATGTCATTAGGCTACACCTTGCTTGCACTATGATGGACCCACATTTTTCCTCATTTCCAACTTAATTCTTTGTAGCACAGATTCGCATTTCCTTTTATTGTGGCCATGCTGACACGATAGTGAGATGATTTGTTGGCTGTATATCTTTCTAGTCTACTATTGCGCTATTGCAGGTGTGTCTTCTGGTTGTTTGAGCCTCATTTACCTTTTTATGTTGGCCCTGCTCTATTGGCCTCACTAAGAGGTTTCACTCACAAAAGAGCTGCTCACATTTTCTATTATCTGTCCAAAAGACAGATCAGCAGGTCAGCTGTTTCTGAACTATTCTGTCTGGCACCAGCAGCAATGTTACATTTAAAGTCAAATAAATCACCTTTCTTCTTGAGATGTTTGATTTAAACTTCAGTAGATTATCTTAACTACGTCTACATTGCTAGATAGAGTTGCTGATGTTTGTGTTAACAAACGTAATAAACTGATTGGTTGCTTAAGATGTCAGTCAGCTGGGCAGTTCTTAATCAATGAAAGCTACCAAAAGAAAGCTGCTGCAAGATTTCCCTGTAGAAGACTAAAAACAATCTGAACATAAACATCTAACAGGTAAACCAGTATTAGTAATCATTTTTACCTCCTAAATGGATAGTTCACCCACAAATGAAAATGTTTTAATATTTGCTTGGCCTCAAGTGTTCTTTTGTGTTTAACAGAAGTAAGAAACACGAAGACATTTTGAAGAATGTTAAAAACCAATAACCATTGACTTACTATGTATAAATACTATTAATGTCAGTGGTTACTTCTTTCGTATTCAACTTGACCAATGAAATATGTGAGTAAATGATGAAGAAATGTTCAGTTTTGGGTGACTGTCCCTTTAAAATCTATTCTTTCCCTTCAGGAGCAGGAAGCTGTTTGGAAGCACTCGGAGCAAATAAACCTCTCCTCGTGGTGGTCAATGATAAATTAATGGACAATCATCAGCTGGAGCTTGCAAGGCAACTGCAGGCCGATTCACATCTCATCTACTGCACGTGCAGGTTTGTTTTATAGGCCTAATGAGAACTCCTCATTCCCTTTCTCAGCCATTTTGATCAGTAATTATGGTCACATTTGATGTGCTCACTGCAAATGTTCATGTGTTTTTAACTCCTCATCACAGTACCCTGCCTCAGACGTTGAGGGAAATGGATCTGACAACTTTGAGACCTTTTGCGCCTGGTGAACCGCAGAACTTTGCCAAGTTTTTAGATAAAGCCGTCGGACTTGTTTGAACCCTGTCAGATTTTGGACTGTGGGTGAACTTTTTAATGGGACTATTTGTGCTGGATTGTCAAGAACCCAATATATCCACTACAACGGGTATAAGAAAATTCTTCAGAAACAATTAAGCTGCTCTAGTTGTTATGCAATGCTGTCTTGCTTTTGACACGTTATTTGTGTTAAAATGTGAAAAGTGCATACTAAGATATTATTTTAATTATGTATTATTATTAATAATAATGTCAAATTACAGATTACAGTGCTAATTAAATATTTTCTACAATTTATTGAATCTGGTTTTCCCTCACAAATGAAAAGGTCAAGTTGTGCATATATACACTATATTTATATAGAGCCGGAAGTTGTCAAGGAAACCCGTTGTGATGAACATCCTGTGTAGTTTCAGACCACAGTCATTTGTCACTCAGACGCTCAGAAGAGAGCATGACTTACATTCACACATCCAGACTGTATTTTAGGCTGCTGTTTTTAATTTTGTGCTTTCAGCAATGCAGTTCTGCTGCTGCTCTGAGTAAGTATATAATTATACACACCATCGCTCTAAACCGTGTTTCTGTGGTTAATGGGGTTATTATAATATTATGCAAACATTTTAGGATTCACCTCAAGATTGGGATTGCAGTTTTCATCTTAAAAAATGCTGTTTATGAATTCCAATTTTATGTTGGAAGTTTTCTAAAACACAAATTGTTTGAAAGATAAATTCAGTTAGTTTAATTGGGGATTTCCAGGGTTTTTTCTCTATTGAATGACATTTGTTTGTGTTGGTTGGTTATGATGATTCACTTGAGGTTTGCGATCCTGACTCTGATTAGCATTCTCTCGATGCGTGTTACAGGAAACTGTTCAGAAATTAAAAGTAATAACTTGTAGACACGTTGTGAATTGTAAGATGATTAACTTGGCATGTTGCCCTGTGTAGGTGTGCAGTGTAAAATCATCAACGTGGACTATGTGGAGTGCATCTGGCAACGGAACTTGTCCACAATGAACTACACCTTCAGCAGTATGTGAGTCCCCATCAACCATTTCTCTCACATTCCTTTATGCATTTGTCTCAGTTAATTATGATGGATATCCTTATGGGTTGAAATGTTGTGCCCTTTACATTAAAGTTGATTTTAAAGCAGCTGTACTTTATTTTAAAGAAAAGTATCAGTGATATAGACTTTATGAGCTCAATTTTGCTATAAAGCAGCTGTAGCTAGACGATAGTGTCCCTATCCAGTTTATTTATTAGAAAACAAGTACAAGTGTTATCAGTTTGATGTTATTACCCTCAGGCCATGCAAGATATAGGTCTTTCAATCTTCTGTAGAATAGTAAAGATTTTTAGCCGTCCTTTAATGTACATATATTTGAGGTCAGTGGTTTCATCAAGAATGGTTTAAAAAGCATATGCATGCAAATGCATAGTTACTACTCATGGCTCCCTTTAACTATTTTGATCCTAAACTAAACAAGCCAATGGGGACTGTGGCAAAAACTCCAATAGGTTGCAGAAATGGAAAATCATATTAAGAAATCAAGCTTACACAGAAGACCAGTTCTCTTCTAGCTCAAATGAATGATGTGATAAGTGAGTAATAATATACACAATCTGTTCTTCTTCTTTTGTCAGGTTTGCGAATGATGGCTTAGATAGAGGTTGCCCGAAATACATATTGGAGCAAAATTACACTGGCTGCAGGATTCCTCTCAAAGACCAAAATCTTAGGTTTAACAAGTTTATTGTTACTATATACACTGAAGGAAAGCACACTATTTCAAAAACTTTTGATTCCCTCGAAAGAAATGGTAAGAACTGATTTACAGTGTTTTAAAAAATAACATGTAGAGTAACATATTCGTGTTACTCTACATGATTGTTCAGACGTTTGGGATCAGTAAAATTATCTCTTAAATTGATACTTATGTTCTTCAGGGATGCATAACAAAAAAGTGCTCACCAAAGTGACAATTCAGTCATCTTTGCTCGATTCAGAATGTTGGGTGAGCAGATGTTGAGTGCAGAAGCAAAAGTATCTCAAATTTTATTCAAAATAGTTCATTAAATCGGTTTTAAAATAAGATGTTTACAGTACAACAAACAAAATATTTCTTTTTTTTTTCTTTTGAACTGAAAAAGCAAGTCCTCCATATGATTATGATCAAGGATTAAGACTCAACAAAATATTTAACAGCATCAACCTTTTTAAACATGGATAATATAAAAAAAATTTGAGCAGCAAAATTGATAGTTTTTAAATACATTACAAAAAAGGGATATTTTACATTGTATTATTTTTTTACAATATTACTAATTGCATGCTTTTGCAAATAAAAGCTTTCTTGGTGAATAAAAGACACTTTTTAGACAATAAAAAGTCTTAACAACATTTTTTATTCGACAGCAGCGGTTTATTATTATCAGTAGTAGCAGCAGCACAGTGATCATTTTACATACTTTCATACATGATTGTATTAATATTTAATCCATTACATTTTACCCCTTCACAATACACAACTGAATAAATGTAATATAAAGTGCAAAAAATTGCATAGTAATGTGTCATAAACATCCCTCACCTCTCACAGTACCACAATAAAAAACCCAGCATTGACAGCAGAACGACTGACAGAATAGCATACAACCAGCCTGGTCTGCTGCTGTTCCCTACGTAACAGATTAGCATGATTGAAAATACTAAGACAACAAATAAAAACAAATGTATCCACATGACTGTGGTTTTCCAATACCCCTTAACTTGCCACAATGTTATTCTTTTCAGTCAGCATTATTATTTATTTGATAAGTGACCATGTAGTATTTAATCATCCCATGGTCCTCATCACCCCATTACAATCATGTATTATCATGTATTATAATATTTTTATACCACAGAGCTGTTAAATGCACTATATTAATTGGCTGAATACTATTATAGGATGTGCAATTATTTTCCGATAATATGAGTCAGCTTTTTCAAATTACTTTGCCGCTAACAACAGCCAAAAATGAAAACAAATTCAAGGGGGGATTCAAGGGTATTCAAGGATTGTTGTCCGTTAAAGGATTTTTTAATCCTTTAAATTTCCTGTGAAATAATAAAAAATTTGTTTGTTATTATTTATTTATTTGTATTTTTTTACTTAATGCTTCAGTTTCTTATTGAATCTTAAATTCTCTCTCATCTGACATGTCCCACCCTTCAAATGATATTGGCTGTTTTTTTTAAAGGGGAGGAGCTGCTATATGTCTTGCCCTGTCTTCATGTTTCAGTCAAATCACTTCACGGGACCTTTAAATTGAAAGGCATTTTAAATCCTTTGACAAGTGGCAAGCTGCTGTTTATCCTGCTTATTCTGTGGATGTATGCCAAGTTATAGATGAGTTAAAACAAATTTTGTTCTTGCAATGCACTTTTTTACCAATTTTTTGCCAGTTTTGACATGTTAGATTATCAAATCTGTGTTTTTTAATGACACAGGCATATCTAATAGCTCATAATAATGTATTCCCTACCATAGAGTAACAGCTAATAATGCACACACCAGGCTATAATCAAATATGCCTCCCTTAATGTGTCTGTTATTAATTATCAGACACAAATCAGCCTCTTTTGTGCATCATATTTTGTTTAGTGCTGCTAAACCCACCATATAACCTCTCAGTGATGTGGAACGAGCACAGCGACACACTTTCACTATACTGGAACAGCAGTGCACCTCTCCGTAAAACCTGCATCGTCTATATGGTGCGCAACCAGAAAGACCCAAGCCAGGTGGGACAATAGATAAAACATGATCATTTTATAACCCTCTTGCATTTACACTACTGACTGTCTGTATCTCTCCTTTTCTCCCAGTCTTTAAATGTGACGGACACGTCATACAGTGTGTCTCCAGTCTCTCAGAACAAACTCTATGTTTTTCAAGTCCGGAGCACAGTCGCTGATTCCTGCGGTTCTTCCGATTTTTGGAGTGACTGGAGCGACCCAGTGGAGTGGAGTGGCACAGGTACTATTGGAAAACCACAGTCATGTGGATACATTTGTTTTTATTTGTTGTCTTAGTATTTTCAATCATGCTAATCTGTTACGTAGGGAACAGCAGCAGACCAGGCTGGTTGTATGCTATTCTGTCAGTCGTTCTGCTGTCAATGCTGGGTTTTTTATTGTGGTACTGTGAGAGGTGAGGGATGTTTATGACACATTACTATGCAATTTTTTGCACTTTATATTACATTTATTCAGTTGTGTATTGTGAAATGTAAGAGAAGTTTCTAATTAATCTTATTTACTAATTAAAATTGTCAGAGCATATGGCTTATGCTAAATTAAAAAAAATACTTTATGATTTGGATTATTTGAAATTTAAGAAAACAATTATTGTATAAATAATTATTGTAGTTATTAATGCCAGATGAAATCAAGAATGATTTCCGATTATTATCAATGTTTAAAACTGTTGAGCTGCATTTCCTTGAAAACAAGAAATTAACGCTGAGAGAATTCGTTAAATTGATCAAAACTGCCAGTAAATACATTTTAAATATTACAAAAAGATTTGTAACCCTGCCTTTTTCCATTTTATGTTTATCAAATAATCCTGAAAAAGGATAAACTTAAGTGTTTTAAAGCTTTTTGTGCCATGTTTTCAGACAGCACAATAGTTTACTTCAGAATTAAGAAATGAATAATTGTTGCAATAAGTGTTACTTTCCATCATATCAATTGAAACGTTTGTTTTTCTTACCAGTTGTCGTTCTCTGGATGATAGAATTTCTATTTGAAATTGCAAAGAAATGTTATCAGACATATAATTAAATAAATTCTAAAGTTTGAGAGTTAAGTAAATAAAAAGTTATTTAGGTTGCTTAAGTTATGCTGTCTCATTACTGTACAAATATATATGAAACGTAATGTAATTTCTTCATAAACAGGAAAAAGATCCTCTCTCTTCCAGTTGTGCCTGACCCTAGCATAAACCTACAGGATTTATTTCATAAGCATGATGGAAATGTTGAGGTATCTGCTCTATTAAGTCTCTGTGCTGTATTTATTTGGTCAATGTGAGCTTTTCAGACTTGTAACCTCTCAGCCTGTTCTCAGAGCTGGATCCACATCTCCAAAGAGCTGAAGGAAGCCTTTCAGCCGGACTACACCGAGCCGTCCTGTGATGTATGTGAAGTTTTGCCCTCTTGCGACACCATTTCCAAACCTGAGGCCTGTCCTGAATCTAAGGCCTCGTCAGATCCCGAGGCCTGTCCTCAAACCGAAATCTGTTCCCAACCTGAGACCTGTTCCCAGCTCAAGGCCTGTCCCGAGCCCGAGGCCTGTCCCGAGCCCGAGGCCTGTCCCGAACCCGAGGCCTGTCCCGAACCCGAGGCCTGTCCCGAAGCGGAGATCTGTCCTGCTCCTCAGACTGACAGCTCTGATAAAGAAAACACTGAAGAGCCGCAGAGCTCATAAAACAGTTTGTCTATATACCATCCTCATCTCATCCATACTGTACAAGTTTTGTTTTGCACGTTTTAGCATTGTTTTAAATCTTGCACAGAGATTATGTAGAGGAAGAAAGGGTTATAAAATTTCAGTACAATAATTGGTTCAATCTTTTAGGGCAGGGGTGCCCAATCTCAGTCCTGTAGGGCCAGTGTCTTGCAGATTTTAGCTCTAACTTGCCTCAACACAGCTGCACGGATGTTTCTAGAAAGCTTAGTAATAGCTTGATTAGCTAGCCCAGGTGAGTCTGATTGGGGTTGTAACTAAACTTTGCAGGACGTGGTCCCTCAAGGACCAAGTTTGGGCACCTGTTTTAGGGTATATGCTCACCTTTATTTAATCAAAAATACAGTAATATTGTAAATGTTGTTTTGACTGCTTTCTGTTTAAAATGCAGTTCATATTTTATGATTTTTTTATAATGGCAAAGCTGAATGTCACATGACTGATCCCACAGTTATCTCTATAATATGCTGATTATTATTATCAGAGTTGAGATCAGTTGTGCCGTTTAATTCAATTGTATTTATTTCTTAGTGAAAATTGTTAGTTAATTTTTAAATAATATAATTACATAATCTTACCGCTTGTTTTTGAAAACTAGAATGGGATATTAAGCAGCGCCAGTTTTTTTTAACACTGATGGTGAACAAAATAAAAATTTACTTCATTAAAAGTTTCCATGATTTTCTACAAAAAAAACAAAAAAAAAAAAACTTTTTTGTACAAGACCTAAAACATGCACACTGAAAAAAAATATTCAAAGATGATTCCTTGGATTTGTTATATTTTTCAAGTCAAGTAGTTGTAAACAATTCATTTGGGCTGAATTAAAACAAACAAATTAAGTTGAACATTACTAAATTTAATTAGTTTGTTTAAATTCAACATAATTTTTTTGCAAAAACATTGCAGGCATAATTTTTTTTTTCAGTGCATCTTGATTTCTTACTGTTATTTTATAAGTACCAGAAATCAAATGCATGATCAGTAGCTTTTAATATGAAGAAATATAACACACTTTTGCGCCTCACAGCAAGAAGGTCGCTGGTTCGAGCCTAGGCTGGATGAGTTGGCATTTCTGTGTAGAGTTTGCATGTTCTCCCCGTGTTGGTGTAGGTTTCCTTCAGGTGTTCCGGTTTCCCCCACAGTCCAAATACATGCACTATAGGTAAATTAGGTAGGCTAAATTGTCTGTAGTGTATGTGTGTAATTGAGAGTGTATGGATGTATCCCAGTGATGGGTTGCAGCTGGAAGGGCATCTGCTGCGTTAAACATATGCTGGATAAGTTGGCGGTTCATTCTGCTGTGGTGACCCCTGATTAAAAAAGGGACTAACTAGAAAATAAAATAACTGAACCTTCTTTCAAAACTTTATTTTTCATAACTTTTATTTATTTGTCATTTTTTTCAGTATTTCGATTTCTTTCTTAATGTGAACTTGATGCAACCCAACCTAAATCCATAAAATCACCTTGTATGCAATTCCAATGGTTTTGTGGGTACACATAATGGTAAAACCATCATTTAATTTTAGTTTCGTTATGTTCAATAGATCTCTTTTGAAAAAATGCACATTAGGCCGTATTTGTTTGTGTATTGCATTTTCCAGATCTTTCTTTGTCTTCGTTTTGTTTGCTCATCTTAAACTGATTGCTAGTGTGATTGTGACATCACAGTCTTGATGATAGAGTTACTCGTCACTAATTTTTCAGCACGGCTACATCTTCAAAACTGGTGTCGAGTTCTTCTCTGCCGCGATGTTTATTTACATCAGACACGGAGGTAAGAATCACAATCATGTATTTACATGACAGTTGACGATAAAGCAATATCTTTAATGCAGTCTGTGTTGTAGGTCTGACTGTCAATGGTTGTCTTTGTATTGATGTAAATGACTTTTCATCGCTATTCACTCTAATAGTAAGGCTAACGACAAGAAACTGATATCAATGTGATGTTTGTCTATTTAGATAATGAACAGTTTCTGCTCAACTCCAACTGTCCAGTCGTTATCCTCGTGCAGTACCTAAAAAGGATGTTCGGGCTGGCCGAGTCAGGTGTGTACAGGCATTTTTTCTTACATCAGGGATATGTAGATAATTAAAAGCAATCGGTCAAATGAGAACTGTAAACCGTTTTGAAACATCGTTCTGAATTTAAAAGAATATAGCGTCCTCCGCAGCTATACAACAGCTCAAAGAAACTATATGTAGCTAGGGGAAGATACAAGTAAAAAAAAAAACCTCCTGATGAAACATTGGCAGCCAATCTGAGTCTGCTTTAATAAACTTATAAATCCAAAAAATGGAAACAGGTTTAGAAAAAAACAATAAAAAAATAACGTTTGCTGGTTAATTTAGACGATAATATCTTGAATATCATTCTTGGTGTGAAAAGACCTTAAAGCAAAAAAATGAAGTCCATTTTCTCAATTTCAGATAGGGTCAGGAGCCGTTAGTATTAAGTTTGTTTTTAATGTTCATGTTTTTTTTTTCAGACTCTTAAAATGCCTATGCCATTAGACATATGTCGATATTCAATAATTTAATATGTTATGATGATAAAGAAGAACATGTTCAGTGTTTATTTATCATATTACTATTAATACTATATTAATATAATATTTACTAATAAATGATTTATTAATAATGTATTAATTATTTAATAAATCTTAGATTATGCTAATTTCTTAGTTAATGCCTAATAATGCATTAAAATCAAAAGATGTAATCATTTTATTAAATAAGTAATAAGATTTTTTTTATCAACTTTAATAGGGATAGTTTTCACTGTTCGTCTAATGCATTCACGTTTACTGATGAGACTTACTGTTACCTATTATACTTTATAACTTTTTAGTTATTAAACCTGTTTAAGTAATCTTTTTTGAAGCTTATGTCAATATTGTGACACTACCGTATACCATGATGAAAACTTCAATAAATAATCGCAAGGAAATTTGATTCTTGCAGAAACTTAATTGCCAATGACTTGCATTAAACAAAATAAAGGTTTAATAAACTGTAATTTAAAAAAAATTACAATCACTGCGGGGAAAACAACACTTTTACTACAATAAAACCAAGGTTCATTTTCTTAATGGATGTTTTTTATTGAGCAACAGACTTGCACTTAATAAAATGAACCATTCCTTAAGAATATTAACTATGTCTTTGTTTAATATAATAATAAATGTATCAAGTAGATCTTTTTTTTTTTTTTTTTTGGTTTGTCTTTTGAGATTGTTTAGACTCTTCAGTAAACTAGTGTAGCTAAATAACGGATGATTTGTGGTAACTGGTTTAATTCCATAACAAAATTGTGCTTTATTTATTTATTTTGTAAAAGCTGGTTTTACTACACCTCACCCGCCAAAACTGGTAACCAATGTAATTTGTTACACTAGTTTAACTGTAGTATTTGTTGTAAAACCGTGCATATACAATCATTCTGTGAACAAAATAACATACTATAATAGATAATATACTAAATAACATATTAATAAAGCCAAAGATAATTTTCATAAGGGAACAGTCTTCACAATAGCACACATTGTTCACAACAGCTCAGTGGAGGTTTAACATACTTATTTTTTTCTTGTCAGTAGAACAGTTTGTATCAGCACTACAGTTCTGTGTACTGTACATTATCCCTCACAGCTTTATTTTTTAGTTATTTCAAAGCCTAAATATGGCACTACCCTGACTTCTAATTGGACATTAGAAATAGTAATTCTTCTATTTCTGTAACAGTAACTAAAAATGCTGAAGTCAAGCTGGCTGTACTTCACATACTTCAGAGATCTCAGGTCAGAGGAGGTCAGTTGAGCCAAACCTAGCCCTTAAACCCAGCCTGACCTTGGTCCAGGAGGTCATGGTTCACCAGCGTTAATATTTCACACTCTCTCTCAGCACATACTCCTCCAGCAGTGTCCAATTACATCTGTGAAGACATTACCTGGAACAGCCCATGACTAATGGAGTACTAATTACTACTGTCATTAACACTGCTCTTCACTCTAATGAGTCCATGCTTCAGTGCATGCTCAAACACTGTAAAGAGACAATAAGCATGTATTGTGTGACAGTTTTGACACGTGTTTGAAACTATACCCTTGAAGGTTATACATCCAGATCTGTGTGTGTGTATGTGTGTCTGTGTTTGTTTCAGAGCTTGTAGACCTGTGTGATGAACGAGGGGTGTTGAAATTCCTCTTTCAGCCTCAGAATTTACAGGAATCTGCTCGTGAACTGCTCAAGGCTAGAGAGTCTTTTATTGTTTGCATCGTTCATTGTGAGTTTTTGTTTGTATTTAAAGCAAGTAGTTTCTGTTTAGTCGACAGTAAAAAAAAAAATGCAAGTAAAGGTTGTTTCTTTTGTGTTTACAGGTATGAATGATGGGGCTTTTACTTCTGTCAGATCACTTCTAGCTGGTGTTGATTCTGCGCTATTAGGTGCTATTGCATGTACAATCCAAATAATACCTTTATCATTCATTCATTTTCTTTTCAGCTTAATCCCTTTATTAATCAGGGGTCACCACAGGAGAATGAACCTCCAAAAAAACTTCATATTTCTACATAAAATAATGTATAATTTAAATTGCCAAACATTTGTTTTTACAGTGTAGATCAAAATCAATTGATAAACACTTTTTTTGCAGAAATAATGTAATCTTTATCATTCAACATTTGAAGGAATTGTACTGTAGTTCTGGCTATATCATACTGGTATTATAGTGTTTTACAAAATAACAGAGGCACCTCACCAAAACCTCTTTATTTGGTAGAAAACCCTGTGATCTTTATTAGATAACTGCATCTATTGTAGCACAAAGAAAGATTAAAACTACAATTTTTGAAGTATTTCTTTTATAACATTCTTACAAAGGGAAACTGCTTATACTTGATATTTGTTCAGCCTTGCTAAAGCACCACCAGTGGCATTATAGGAACTGGCTTTATATTTTAATTTTATTTCTCCAAACAGCAGATTCTAGAAACCATTGAGCCTCTAGTGTGATCTTGATCCAATCTTCATCTGGGTAACCTGCTGTCAAAGAGTTTCGATCACTTTAAAATTGCTCACCATCTTGCAAAGTCAGAAAAAACCTGGAATGTTAGACTGCTAGTTAAAGGGATTGTTCACTCAAAGATGAAAATTATGTCATCATTTATTTACTCACTATTGACGTGTTCCAACACAGTTTTTATTTATTTATTTATTTATTAAGAATGTTGGAAACTGGTAACCATTGACTTTTTTTTTTTTTTTACTATGACTGTCAATTGTTACCAATCGACAATCAACCAATTGTTTCCAATCTTTATTCTTAGCGAACTATCCCTTCAAATAGGGTTTGTCAGATAATTAAGAAAATTACAGCAAGGTGTCAGAATAACACTAATAACATTCTCTCATTTGGATCAGTGGTCTTTTTAAAGTTTAATGTGCTTCAAAATATACGTGACCCTGAAACATAAAACAAATCATGTGTTGCATTAGTATTAATAGTATTAGTAGTATTAATAAATTTCCAACCTTAAATATATCAAAACTCAATTTTTGATTAGTAAGTACTTTATTTACAAACTTTAAAGGCAATTTTCTCAAAATGTAGATTATTTTAGGTTTTCAGATTTTGAAATGGTGTTTTGCTCAAGTATTGTCTTATGCCAAAGTATACACCAATATAAAGGCTTATTTATTCAGCTTTCATTTAATGTATAAACCCCAATTTTAAAAACATTTACACAAATGACTTAGTTAGTGGTCGATTTACAGTATGTTGTGGTCACATATGCAACCCATGAAGAATGCTTCAAAAATTGCAGTAAAAAAAGCAGTCACTTCAAAATGTAGAAAACTGTAGGTTGTTCTCTCATTTTGAACTCCACACTGTATGTGTTTGTAATGTCTTCCAGAGGCTCTTCAGAGTCAGATTGATCATCTTGAGAAAGCTCGCCTCAAGCAGCTTCATTCAGTGGAGTCTCGTGCTGCTACGTCAGAGGAAAACAGTGCTCAGGCTCTGCCTGCTAAAACTGTGAGTCTTTCTTCTTGAGTACCTCTGAACCTCAGAGTTTTCTCTCCTCCTTCCTCAGTTTGAATTCCTCAGCTTTAATTTAATATTTTATAAAAGAAAATCTTGTTAAATGACAAGTCCCTGTGGCCCGTAATCATTTAATCTTTTGTTTTGTTTTCATGTGGCTCTGCAGACAAAGAAGCGCAAGAAAGTCACACATGTAAACGGCTCGGATGAAGGAGTCCAGCGCCACACGGAGGACAGGAAGAGCAGGAACTGAATGAATCTCCTCACATCCGAGCTCTCAGTGATGGTAGTGAAGGTCCCAGTTTAATTCATTTAAATTACGCATGTTCTTCAAAGGGCATGCTGGTATTATTGTTTTTACTGTGTATAATTTTTTAGGTGGTTTAAGATTCACTACATTTATTTTATAAATCTAAATGAAAGTCAGGGACTACATGATACAGCAGAAGATATGAAACAATGAATAAAACTAATGTATTGGTGCAAATCTGTCTGTTTGTCTATATTTTTATCATTCTTTTTGTCTGTCAGTTTTTCTTTCTTTATCCACTTGTCTGTCTGACAATCTGTATATCTTTATTTATCTATCCACCTGTCTGTCTGTCTGTCTGTCTGTCTGTCTGTTTGTTTGTCTTTCTTTTTATATCCACCTGCCTGTCTGGCAATCTCTATTTATCTATTCACCTGTTTCTTTGGCAATCTGTCTATCTTTATCCACCTGTCTGTCTAACAACTTTTATTTTTTATCTATCCACCTGTCTCTCTGGCAATTTGTCTATATTTCTTTCTCTATCCACCTGTCTGTGTGACGATTTGTATATCTTTATCCACTTGTCTGTCTGACAATCTGTCTATCTTTCTTTATCTGTCCACCTGTCTGTCTGACAATGTCTTTATTTATCCACCCATCTTTCTTTTTGTCTATAGTTTTGTCTGTCAATTTTTCTTTTTTTTTTGTCGGTCAGTTTGACTGTTGTTTCTATTTACTTTTTGTTTATCTGTCTGTTTGGCTGTCTGTAGTTCATTCTTTCTTTTTGTCTATCAGTTTTCTTTCTTTTTGTTGGTCTGTTATTCTTTCTTTCGTAGGTTTGTCTATATCTGTCATACTGTCTGGCATTCTTTCTTTCTTTTTGTCTTTGTCTATCTGTCTTTCTTTTTTTGTCTCAATCTGTCTGTTTGAGTGCCTCTCTTTTCTATTTACTTTTTGTTTATCTGCCTGTTTGGCTGTTTTTCTTTTGTCTGTCTGTCCGTCTGTCTGTCGGACGATGTTTTCTTTCTTTCTTTCTTTCTTTCTGTTGTTTGTCTGTCTGTCCACCTGTCTGTCTCAGTCTTTCCTTCTTTCTTTTTTCTTTCGTTTTTTCGTTTGTTCTTTCTTTCTTTTGTCTGTCTGTCCACCTGTCTGTGTGACTGTTTTGTCTCACTGTCAATTTTCTTTCTTTTTGTCTATCGATCAGTCTATCTGTCAATTTTTCTTTTTTTGTCTACCGGTTTGACTGTTGTTTGTCTGTTTCTCTTTTCTAATTACTTTTTGTTTATCTGTCTGTAATTCTTTCTTTTTCTATCTTTATTTCATACTTTTTGTCTGTCTGACAGTCATTCTTTCTTTCTTTCTTTTTGTTTCGTCTTTGTTGGTTTGACTGTTATTTGTCTCTCTTTTCTATTTACTTTTTGTTTATCTGTTTGTTTGACTGTCTGTAATTCCTTTTCTATCTTTCTATTATTCTTTCTTTCTTTCTTTCTTTCTGTTTTGTCTGTCTGTCCACCTGTCTGATAGTCTTTCTATTTTTCTTTTTGTGTTTGTCTGTCACTGTCAATTGTTTTTTCTTTTTCTCCAATGACCTGTCTGTCTGTCTGTCTATTTTTCTTATTGTCAGTCGGTTTGACTGTTATTTGTCTGTCTCTCTTTTTTTGTCAGTTTGGTTGTCTTTAATCCTTCTTTCTTTCTTTCTTTCTTTCTTATGTGTTCTTTGTAAATGTAGGAATTTTCCACTGGTCCCTTGAAATTAAGCAACAGATGAGGTCACCGTCTCGCCTCTGATTGGTCCGTATGAATACCTGTTTGTTACCAAGCTTTTCCCAGCTGGTTGCAAATTAAGAGAGAGAATCTAAGAGAGAATATTTATAGATCAGCGTGTGCAGTTACAGCACAATCTTTAATGCTCCAAGCTATATTTGGTAAGCAATCAACCTGTCTGGATGCTGACAGAGTGGGTGTTAACTGTATTTTTGCAATAAGTTTTATGTCAGAGGGAAGATGATATCTTGGAATATAATTTGAGATCAGTATCTTGTGGCTCTCTCTCATCCATGCAGCTGCAGACTTTCAGCAAAGCGTACGTAGGCCGGTGCAGGTGCAACTTTATGATGTGTTACTCAGCATAGATTTTTCCTTTTCAGCATTTCATCAGAGCATGATGTGGGCGGAATGCAGCCATTAGACAGGAACGAGTGGGTGATGCCAGTTAGCGGTTCTAGCGTCTATGGCCATCATAATCTTTCGCGACATCCTTCCCTGATGTTGAACAGCATGCACACCTCCTGTTTGCTGTTTATTTTCTTTTTAATGCTCTAGTTGTGAAATGTGGAAATGTCAAAAGTCGGTTGTTCTGGAAGGTGGTGTAGAAAGTGATACAGTTTGATGAATGTGATTGACAGAACTAAAGTGAAACTGCCTTGTATTACAGACTGAAGGTGCAGCTGTCAGCTTGTAACATTGTGGTCAGTGCGTTATGTCTCACTTCTCTCTGTCTGAACTACCTATCAATATTTTAGAGGGCTTTTAATGGCTTGTTTTCATAACTAGATATGTGAGCATTCTCAGTTGTAATGATGTATATGAATACAGTATACATGCTTTTTAATGAACTTATCATCTCCAAGTTTTATCCTGTGTTTTATTGTATTTTTAAAAGTCTCTTCAATACTTTAGTGTCAGAAACATTGTATTTCTATTGAATCTTAAAAAGAGCCATATCAAAGTAACTTTTCAAAGTTGCCCCCTTGTGGCTGAACTTAAAAAAAACTAAGTGAAAGAATTCAATTCATCTTTATTTGTGTTGCGCTTTTACAACGTAGATTGTGTCAATTCAGCTTCACATAGAAGATTACAGTGAATTGAAACAGTTTCAGTTTAGCTTTCAGAGTTAAAGTTCAGTTCAGTTCAGTGTGGTTTAATAATAACAACTAGTGAAAATTAAAGCATATAGGCTGACCCAGTGTATTAAATCATATAGTTTTAGATTTATGTATGATTATGTCATTGTTTTTATTTTAATAAATATTTTATTTTTACATTTCTATTAATTATAGTCTAAACAATATAGATTTAAAGGATATAGTATTTTACATTTATCAAGGATGTTGTAGACCAGTATCCATTGACTTAATATTATATTAATTATATATTAATAACATAATATTTCTTTTTTTTTCTTACTATGGAGGGCAGCAATTACTGATTTTAACATTCTTTAAAATAAATTTGTTTGTGTTGGCAGTAGAAAAAAACTAGACTCATAAGGTTTTGGAAAGACCAGATGAAGATTATAAGAATCCTTAAATTTTGGTTGGACTATCTCTTTAACATGTGCCTTATTTTCAGTATAATATTATAATATTTTTACTGAGTCATATGTCAATTGTAATCTGAAAGCTGAATAATTGTGTTTTCTGTTGTTAAGATACACTGTCAGAAATAAAGGTATGAGAGTTTTCACTGGGATGGTACCTTTACAAAAGACACAAGTTTTAACTGAAGGGTCCTTATTATTATCTCAAAGGTACATTCTAGCATCTAAAAATGACAAACATGTACTTCTTGAATACTTTAGGTACTAATATACACCTTTGATGCACCAATGTGGACTGTTTAGGTATAAATGTGTACCTTTTGAAAAGGTACCACCCCAGTGACAGTTCTCTTACCTTTATTTCTGAGTATAGAGCAAAATTTGGCCAATAACTATTCGAAAATCTGGAAACTAAGGGTTAACAAAAAAAATCTTAACACAGAGAAAAATACCTTTCAAAAAGTTGTCCAAATTTAGTTCTTAGCAATGCATATTACTACACTGTAAATACATTTTTACATTAAAATTTTTAAGCTGAATCAAATAAACCCTATGAGTCCTTCAAATTTATATTATGTTAAAATGACTTAAAACAGCTTGCGTAACTTATGAAAATACGTTAAAATATTATAAACTTTGTTGAATAATTTACAATGACCTAAAAACATATGCTGTCTGGACTAACTGGTCATATATTTATTTACTGTGCAATACAAAATAAAATGTAATATATTTACTCTATAAAATGTTCTTAATGACGCCACAGAAAATGATCTTTTCTTAACACTCAAATGATTTTTGACTTAAAATAAAGATCAATCATTTAGGCTCAATGTATTATTGACACAAATATACCCAAACAACATAAGCCTGGCTTTGTGTTCCAGGATCACTGAAGACAATTTTAAGGATTCTTCCAATTAAAATATACTGTAAAAATTTACTCAAAAAATATTTCTGGTGCTTATAAACTACTTTTTTCAAATAAGCTGGAAAAAAAAACAATTCTTGACAATATTTCTGGGGACAACTTGTTTTATGTTCAGTCATAAATAAATACATAAATTAGTTAGGTTAACTTAATTGATTTGTGTTGCGACAACATGAATGAATGGGGTATATGCACACTGACTCTTCATTTCAGTCAGTTAGCCCCAGGGCTTCCTATTAGTTGTCTTCCCATAAAAAATCGCCACATTTAAGATCTGATTCTTCACAAGATCAGCGGTCTTCACTGAATGGCTGAGATACGATATGAAGTGAGTATGAGACCAAACAAGAAGCACTGAATTTAGTTATATTTTCCACACCATGTCTTAAAAATATGGAAATTAATTTTACCCCAGTATTTTCAATTTAGTTTCTGCACTAGCCTGCTACTAATGATGGCGCCTGCGTTTAAACAATCTTTCATCTCTTTTTACGCTTTAACAACTATTTGGATGCTTAAGTCTATTTAACTGATTATATTTGAATTACATTACAACATCAATGCTTTAAAAGAAACCATATGAAAGTAATATGAAAATAGTCACATAAAGCTTTCACCAGAAGTTCAGCATTGGCTGAAAAACTCTAGCTGTGCCTATAGTCCATTGTGTGGAACCCTGCATCTTTTCTACAGTAGTAAAATAATAATAAAACACTTTTTTATTATTATTATTGCTGCGTCATGCAATTGTGGTCAGTTACTTTATGTGCCCAAAGTCTTTTCAAGAGTCTGTTATTCACTGTTGTCACAGGAACACCAGTCCCCTTCTCCCTGTTGGACAGAGGCTCTTATTTTTGAAGCATTCACTGCACTCCGGGTCGCCCTCAGTACTTATGATGCAGTAACTGGCACTTTTGAGGAATCCAAAAGAGTGAGAAAGCTGAATGGACTGCTTGTTCAGCTGGAGACATAGTAAAAGAGGCT